TGGCCATGGGTATACACTACCTCTACCAATCCACATTTGAGGATAAATTTCGTCTAGATAATTTCTAACTTCTAGGCTATAATGTGGTGGTGCACCATCATGCATGTACCAAGAGTTCCATTTCAAATTTAGAGGTATGTCTTCTAAAAGAGTTGGTAAATCTTTTCTCAAAAAATTTAGATACGTTACTCCGTCAAGCCTAGTTGGTAATTCGAATTGTCCTACAATACAATCCCCAAATATGCCACACCAGATATTTATGGAAAACTCGTGTTGAAAATGATGTTCTTGAAATGCATGAGGATTTTCTGTCGCGTAGGTATGGCTATTGCGCAAGTTAAATACACCGCTTCTAGTAAATGCGGCTTCATCGGTAAATAAAATTTTATTATAAAACATTGGATCGTTCTAAATGCAGCCCCATTATAAATTGACTAAATCGGAGCCTTGCTGGAAAATCGTGTGGTAAAAGATTCTGTACTGGAGTAAAACGATACGGATACAGATTTTCTGTCCGTATTATTCTTGACACCGTAGATTTGCTTATACCAGTGGCCGCAGAAACAAGCCTTGTACTGGCTTCTTGATCTTCTGCAACACTCACAACAATTTCATCCTCCATATCCGCATCAATTACTCTCGGTCTTCCAGCATTCTTATTTTTGGGATCAAATAAATCTGTTTCGCCTAATCTGTCGAACAATGATCTAATAGTTTTATGGTTTGGTTGCCTTCTATTGGGATAAAGTTCGAAATAGAGTTCAGCTGCTTTACGAGAACAAAAATTTTCCTGGGCATACAAACAGATCATATCGCGCATTTCTACATAAGAAAATTCACTATGACGTGGCATTTTTCCTTTATCTTAAGTGGTTTATAAAAAACTTAATAGCACTTTGACAAATAATGACTCGCACTGCACTTTGACAACTAATAATAAATAAATTCGTAGTTACCTTTGACAACTAATAATAAATAAATTCGTACTTACGTCTTGACTTTGCCATTAAGTTCACAGCATAGGTACCTGCTTGTTTTGCGAAAAACAAAATACGTTTATTTCGAAAACGGTGTATTTTTTTGATTTGAAACAAGAATACCTTTTTTGTGTAGAATTGAATGTTAGTTCATGTTTTTTTCCTAGAATATTTATACAGGGCGGACAAAAAAATTATGGCCCCATTAATGAATCAATGTTACAGTAGGTGGCGCCACCTAGTGTCAATGGTAAAACTAATATCATTTTCTTATTAAGCATATTAAATAATAGCAAGATAAAAATTTTAACTAAAATCGGTTGAATAGTTTTCAATATATCCATAAAAATAATATAAAAAAATATTAATGAATCTCCCTGTAGAACGAAAAATAGCAACATTTGTCCTAAGCAATTTGAGCTCAAACGCTTTATTTTGATGTCAGCTATCACCCATTAGCTAATGTCCAATTAATTATGGGACACCCTGTATAAGATCATGCAAAAAGCTGTGCTACTTTCGACGTGCGAAAATTTTTGGAAGATACATCGACGTACCAAGTCACCTACAACTCGATAACATGGAAGGGGCTCAATCCTTTTGATACCGTAGGTATCTGGGATGAGTGAATTTTCCCCTTAGAGGGAGTGTGAACCGTATGGCTAAATCTGGATAAATTACTTTATTCAATTTTAAACATGTTATTTCAATTTAAAAAATACAGAAAACATAGTAAGAAGCTTCGCGCTACTCTACAGTAGGTACCGCTTATTATACCAAAAGTATCACCAAAAAGATGCTATGATTACTAATTTTTATTAAATTATATCTCCTAAACATCAGTTATTACAAAAAATACAATTTTTGAAAGTCCCTTCTATTGATCTTTTGTTAAAGGGTTAATTAATCCAAGGTTTGCGCTTCTGTAGAAGATAGTCCAGAGTTTTGTTTTTGCCTGTTTGTCTTTTAAGTATATACAAAAACATGTAAAAGAAAACGAATTATTCTTTAACCTTTTGGGATAAATTTAAATATAGAATCTGTGACGAAAATGTAAACCCCATTTGTAATCAGAAGAGGATATACCTAAAACGCCGAAATATACATTTGCATATTTAGTTGATAATAAATATTAAGTGCATTTTGCTTATCTCAAAATATGTTGCTAAACCATTTTTCGTATCGGATTGATAAAATCCGGAATGGCTAAAACAAATTATAAAAGAATAGTTACTATAAAAAACTAGTAAATAAAATAATTTATTAGAAAAAACGGAAAAAATACGCATATAAATGTTCACTTGAAGTTCTTGTATTGTTTAAATAGAGAATGATAAATGTGAAGATAAATGTAGAAACCTCTGTAAAATGATTGATGGATTCGACCGTTACTTGATGGAAATTCATTTTATGTAACAATAAAACACTGAAAACTTTGTTTTCAAACTTCCACAAAATTTATTTTAAATATTATCACTACAGCTGTTTCGGCTGATTGCCTTTCTCAAGTGATCTATTTTTGGCATGCGTTTACAAATTTATAGTCTCTAATGAAATAGGTTGAGGAGGGGAGAAACTGTTTGTCTCAAGTTGGTCATTCAGAATTATATCTGTGTTTTTTAATTTGTTGGAGGAGGGATACTAGGAAATAGAAGAAACCCTACAGAAACTGTTCCCTCCTACAGAAACTTTTATTCTAGTAAAAAACCTTTTAGACCAAAATAGTACAAATCCAATAATTACATCTGAAATTTTACATCTTCTTGAAGTTTGCATAAACCAGGACTACTTTGAATTTAATAATAAAATTTATACAAATAACAGTGCAGGACTTATAATGGGTAATCCTCTAAGCCCATTGCTATCAGATATTTTTATGGATCATCTAGAGACAAAGATTTCAAAACATCCCGTATTCAAACAGTTTATATATTGGTGGAGATACGTAGACGACGTACTGGTATGTTTCACAGGAACTAACAGGCAACTGGACCAATTTTTATCATATATTAATTCACTTCATAGTCATATTGAATTTACAATAGAAACAGAACAAAATCAATCCATAAATTTTTTAGATTTAAAAATTAGCAGACTTCAAAACAAACATGACTTCTCCATATTTCATAAACCTACCCATACGGACACGACTATACACAATTCGTCATCCCATCCAACACAACATAAACTGGCAGCTTATCATAGTATGTTACATAGATTAACAGAAATTCCCATGTCAAAATACAACTTTGAGACAGAATTAAATATAATTAAGCAGATAGCAATAAACAACGGATACAACGAACAAACAATTAATAAAATGTTAAACCAAAAACTACACAAGAAAGCCCTGAAATTAGTATTTCCATCACCAGAGAAAAAACTCAGTACCTTTTGCTCGATTACATATACAGGCAAAATAACAACAAAAATTGCCAAACACATAAAAAAGAAAGGAATAACACCAGCTTTCCGAACAAATAACAACCTAGGCAAATATATTAAAAATAGCAAGAGCCAAAATAAAAAACACTTAAATAGTGGTGTGTACAAACTTGAATGTGGCGACTGCCCAAAAACTTACATCGGTCAAACTGGTAGAAACTTTGATAAATGGATAGCAGAACATAAAAGGGCTTTCAAGAATAGAAAAACAGATTCGACATACGCACTTCACCTTCTAGATCATAATCATTCTTTTAATGACAAATTTAAAATTCTTCACATTCAAAATAAAGGCCTTAAGCTATCTTTGTTAGAATCTATGGAAATCAACAAATTAAAGAACACAGATATAATTCTGAATGACCAACTTGAGACAAACAGTTCTCCCCTCCTCAACCTATTTCATTAGAGACTATAAATTTGTAAACCGAAGCCAAAATAGATCACTTGAGAAAGGCAATCAGCCGTAGTGATAATATTTAAAATAAATTTTGTGGAAGTTTGAAAACAAAGTTTTCAGTGTTTTATTGTTACACTCTGTAAAATGCTTTGTTCCTTATGTTGCGCTAGACTTAGGAATGGTACGACTTGTGTTCGTTTTCTACAGTCATGTGATGCACAAATTGGTGTTATTATATTATAATCTTTTCCATGGACACCCAAATTTCTTGGCGTGAAATTTCTTCTTCTTCTACTTCCATTACCGTTATCGATCGTTGGATATCATGTTGGCTACCATATTCACTATCGTGACTTTATTGACATCAGCTCTAATAATGATGTAGTCGATTTTCCGTACTATTGTTTTAGATTCTTCAGCCGTGGTGTTCTTCTTCTACCAGGATTTACTTTCACAGTGAAAGTAAAGTGACTAGTGAGTGTAGTAGTCTCTGGGGGCTCGGGAGACTGAGACCTGAGAAGCCCTGAAGAAGACATCAGAGAGGAGGATAAACCGTAAAAAACACAGGTTGGCCAACGGAAATTTAAATCAAAAATACCATGAAAAGAAGATTAAGAGAACAGGTGGGCAATCTGTGTTCATATATGAAGAAGAAATATCCATCGTTAATAGCGTTTTAACATGTGTAGATTGGGAATATCCACTAAGCGCAATGGATTTGAGAATGTTCGTCAAAAGTTTTTTGGAAAAAAGTGGTAGAATTGTATATAGATTTAAGGAGCATATACCTGGAATTGACTGGGTAAATAGCTTGATAAAGAGACATTGAGGCATTGCTAGTAAAAGATGAGAAACTAATATTGTAAAAAGCCGAGCAGAAGTACATCTGGACCTGATAATGAAAAAATACTTTTGACATTTTAGAACAAACGATTGAAAACGTTCAATAGGGGAGGCCTATGTTCAAATTTTGACGCAGACGACTGAATGATGATGATGAAAATGACTAGAACAATACTCAACCCGACCAGTGTGGACTTTGACTGGTATTACAGTTCATAAATAAAATAAGTTAAGTCAATGGTTTCCTTTTTCATTTAAATAAATTTGGACGAGAAGACGAGCAGATATTTTCAAGGTCATAGCAGTTTAAAAAATCCACAAGCTCTAGTACTTACTTGTCTCACTCTTTCGTACCAATCTCTAAATGCTGGATTGCATTTCTCTTCCCAATGTTCAACTGGAGGATATTCCTGCATCCAAATCTCTATTATATCTAATAATTCGCATGTCTTATTTATCTGATTGGAAGCATTAACTGTTGCCTGTTCGATGGTCTTGCCTTTGATGGAATCGTTAAGGGTATAGATAAAACCCAAATATTCCTAAAATAAGGAGATATTAATTAGTAGATACTAATTAATAAAGTATAGGCAAAAAAAACTGAAATATAGTTGATGATATTCTTGGTAAAAATATATTTTCGTTAGTATTCATTGTATGGATAATGTATTATCTAAACTCCTTTATACAATTAACGAAACTAATGAAATGAATGATTAATTAATGATTTTTTTAAGCTAATTATTTTTTAAACAATCGAACACAAATTATTTAACAGCCAATATTAAACAAGCATAAACACTGCATTGATTGTGATTGCAAAAACCGTTCGCATGTTTTAAATAAGATTTTGGCTGATTACGTATTTTGCTAAATTATTAAATAACACCAATACAATCCACAACAATCAATTAATTTTTAAAGATAAAGAGAAGTGTAATATGATTTTGATCTACTTTGTCGATAACAGTGTCGTTAACAAAAAGATATTTTTAAATAGCATGAATCATTGTTAAATGATTATGTGGATTTAAGAAATACATTACTAAACAAATTTTTAAAGTGTGTATAAGGGAGATTACAATTATTGGTATAACATATAACAAAAATGTTTGTATATTGAGAACGATTTCTGAAGTGGAAATTGAAACGCCAAAAAACGTACTTTACCTTTAATTGTGGCTTATTCCCATTTAAATAGTAATTAATTTAAAATGCCACAAGAAAATAGCTTCAGAACAACATACGTTTGGTGGTAAAGATTTTACCACTATAATTAAGCAAAACCGCCTGCAGTTGGCAGGACATGTAGCCCGCACCCCTGAATCGAACATGATAAAAAAGATTCTAACAGCACAACCCGTGGGAATGAGAAGACGGGGTAGATCAAAGCTGAGGTAGATGGACGGGGTAACACAAGATGCACAGAACAGAATGGCGTAGAAAGCTTGAGAAGGTCGAGGCCCTCTAAGGGCTGTAGTACCAAGATGATGATAATGAGATTTATTACATGCCCAACAATAAGATAATCTGTATATGTTACAGAAGAAACCAAAAGGGCTTAGACATTTTAGATTACTTAATTTTTTTAAAAGTAAAATAAAGTTGTAAAGTAATTCAAAAAATACTTAACTTACATAATAAGTTTCCGATTTTTCCCAACTCCGCATATCGTCGGTAGTTTTGATCAATTTACTTGGTATAACATAAACGTGATGATCGGCTACAAAAATAAGTTCTGTTTTAAAAAACATAAATATAGAGGAACCGAATCTCTACCCTTTTGTATGGAATTGAAGCTTGGACACTTAAAAAATCCAACATTAAAAACTTAGAAGCATTTGAAATGTGGTGTTACCGACGTATTTTGAAAATATCATGGATGGATCGCAAAACAAACGAACAAGTTCTCGAACAACTAGGAAAACAATGCGAAGTTTTAAATTCCACAAAAATCAGGAAATTGGAATACTTGGGGCACATCATGAGAGGTGAAAAGTACGAACTACTAAGGAATATAATGCAGGGTAAAATCAAAGGTAGAAGAAGCGTAGGAAGACGTAAAATCTCGTGGCTACGCAATATCTGTGAATGGTTTGGATGCAGTTCAATTGAACTATTCAGGCGAGTAACCAATAAAATTATAATTGCCAGAATGGTTTCCAATCTCCGATAGGAGTGGAACTTGAAGAAGAAGAAGAAGAAGAAGAAGAAGAAGAACCGAAATCCAAAAACAAGAAAGAAGTTGCGGAGTGAATAAAGAGCAAACACAAATTTTATCAACTAACGGTATTAACACTACTCTAAATTATTCTCTCTCTCATTATTAGACGACTTTTTATATATTTAGCCTTTTTTCCTTTTCATTTATTCCAATTTTTCTTTAATGGCTGTAGCACGTTGTTATTCTGATTATGATTCCCATCATTCTAGCTCTTTTCTTACAAATTTTCCTGGATTTCATTATATACTGTTGCGCTCTGTGGGTTCAGATATTAACCCTACAATGCATCATGTAGCATATCTGCTACATACAAAATATTGAAGAGTTCCATTTTCATTAAATGATTTATGATACACCTAAATGCATAGTGTAAGGGTGGCCGCACACAGAAAGAGCAAAACTGCTTTAGTCAAAAACGTTTTTGTTTCTACAAGAAACATTTTGTTTTCGAAAGAAACAAAATGTTTGCACAAACTACACTGCAACCAGTTTTATTAAAGATGTCGACAGATAACAACGAAATTGTATTAGTTTTTTTGGCAATGGTTCCTCCTACAGGACGAAAAAACGCAAAATAAAAGACAATTTTGGATGCATTTCCAATGGAATTCCAAAGGTAATTCCAAAAACACATTGAGCCTGCGTACATTGAAATGTTTTGACACAAATCGACGATCCGGTAGACAACATCAAACAGACTGACTGAAACTAAATGAGCCTAAACATGCTTTAGACACACGACTAATCAGTGTGCGTCAGCTCATTTTATTTTTATGGAAAAATCAGCATCAGACTGGTTTAGTCAAAAACGTTTTTGACTAAAACAGTTTTGCTCTTTCTGTGTGCGGCCACCTTAACATACTATATACACACTTTAAATCGGGTTTCGCTTTGCTGGCAATAGATGGCGCAGCAAGTACAGAATTTTAATTCTAAATGTCAGCTGTCGTTTTGGTGGTTGATGTGTGTATCTGACATAGTAAATTTGTGTTTTTTTTGAATATTTGGAGCGTAATACGCAACGAAGAAAGATACCAAAAAACTCATAAAAGCTTAAAGGCTACATATATCTAGCCGTGGATAATACAAATTAAAAGAAATAATGGAAATATAATAAGTACCTCTAATCTGGTTAATCTAAAAATAGTATCTAAATATGTTACTAGTCTAACTATATAGTGGAGGAATTATTTTCTTAGAGCAAAAAAAAGTAATCAATTTTTCTCTTTTATCAAATATGTATCAACTTACCTATAGACCCATCAGATTGCATCTTGATATTCAAAAATTATAAAATGATTGTAAAATATATTTCTGTTTTGGCAGTTCGTATTTATCTCTAAAAGTTGACAATTTTTTATCAGTTACCAAGATATGTAAACAAATCGTGGATTCTTGTCATTTGCGAATGGAAAAATATGTCATGTATCAATTGCATCATTCGATCGTATAAATATTTTAATCTATTAAAACATATAAACATATATAAAACGGACAATATAAACATATATAAAACAAAGCCAAAGTATAAATAAAGAGAGCCAAATTATAAAAATAAAAAGACGAACGAAATTGGTATGGACTTCGTTTGGTAAACTTAGTTCGTTTATATTGAAAAATCAAAAGCATCCTCAATATATGCATCCTCCCATTGACACGGGAACGTGTTTTTGAGCGAATCTTGGAAAATCCGAAAGCAAGCCAGACAAAGACAGCGTTGCATTTTGGCTAAAAAAGAACTTCCTTGCAAAGAATTCTAAAAGAGCTGAGTGCATTTTCGTATGTAATTGAGGTATATCAACAATTATAAATATTCGGGATTATTGCAGTAGGGTGCAATATTGCGCCAGAATTCTTACGTTACAGTATGAAAATCTTATATTTTTTAAAAATATATGGCCATAATATAAAATAAGTATAATCTTTGTGCTTTATTTTACCCGTCATTTTGGTTTGATGCGAAAATCTATGAGGGACTTTTTGTCTCTCCTACTGCGTGAGCAATTCTGACAGCAACTGTTGTCATACCAAATAACCTGCTTTCTAAATTTTTAAGATGTTGCACAATTTCTCGTTCCAAATCTTGGCTAAACGTAGCCTTATGTTTACCCATATAGCCTTTTTCCCATCCCTTATCCTTGGAAGCACGTCGTCTAAGCGTCATGGATGGAAAACTGTAGGTCTTTGATGCTAAAAGCCAACTCATTCTTTTTTATCGGATAGCTAATATGGCCTGCTTTATTTCATTTTCATCCCAGGATTGTCTTATCTGTTATTATTTTATTATCATTGAGTTAATGCCTCGACAACTATGATCATTGGCATGGTACAGTCAGGTACCTAGTGTAGTGTGTGTGTGTATGTGTGTGTGTGTGTGTGTGTGTGTGTGTGTGTGTGTGTGTGTGTGTGTGTGTGTGTGTGTGTGTGTGTAGAGTAATTGTCTTGATACTTAGCAAAGTCGACGTCATTGTCTTTGCTAAGAGACGCTAATTGTATCCGAACGTCTGCGGTATCTCCGGTGAGTACCGATCGCACAAGGATAGAAATTATTTTCATTAATTAATTTTTAATAAACGAAAATTTCTCCACCCAGATCTGTTATTATTAATAATTCTTAATACGAAGTTTGAACTAAGATCCTTATGAGATGGCATACCATGACATTTCAGATTGATCACTACTATGCCGTTTTATTATGTATGCCACGTTCATTACAAATTTGTAATGAAAACAATTCAGCTACAGCACGATGCACAAATATATCTACAGGGACAGAGAATCCTATATCTTGAACTACGTAGTATCCTGTCCTGTTGCTTCGCAGGTGACGTCATGCGCGTCGGAATACACTTTTCTATTCCTTGAGTAGCATACCGGTATTTGTGTATCGTGATTAAATATAGACTGTGCCTTGTATCTGTTCAGTAACTTAGTTTCAAAAAACAAATAAAATAAAAAATGTAACTGTCTAAAGCAATAATTTATTATTATAAATGTTAAAATACATAAATATATATTTATCAGACACAATCAAAAATCAAAACTGATTTTTATTTAATACTTGTTTTCATTTCAAATCATCCTTTTTTAATTCAACCAGTTTTATTTCATCCACTTTTATTTCATCCGCACTATTTGTAGCAAATCCAACAGAAGACCGGCGTCGACTAGAATTACTCGTACTGCTTGTAGCATTATCAAGCGTAATCTTATCAGTATTTTCACTGACTGACATATTAACGGAATCAATGTTCGACAATTCCCTGCTAGATGTTAAGTCCTGACTAGTATCGACACTGGAAATTTGAGTTATACTATCCAGCGAAGTCTTATCAGCTGCAGACATGGCGGACTGACACGTTGGTGGCATTTGAGGAACTTGGAAACTAGTTCTCGGTCTTACAACTGCAGGAGGCTTAAATAAATTCAAAGTGAATATCGAGCCGAAATATATGTGCTGCACAAGAGGAAACTTGGCAAGTACCTGCAATAAAAATAGGGTTTTAAAATCTTGACTTTATCTATTAAACATTATAAGAAGCTAAATCGAGGAATTTTCATATCCTATACTACGAAAAATCACTCTCCTATCTTGAAAAAATTAAAAAATATATTATTTTGTACTAGGCGGGTTATGCAATTGAGGTGAAGTTGGCTTCCAGTACTAAAATTTGTACATTTTCATTTAAGTTTATGTATAAAACTAGGCTTACTGACACAAAATATTAGGATTATTAAACTTCTATCAATTAATTGATGTATTCGACCGTTATTTGATGGAAATTCATTTTATGTAACAATAAAACACTGAAAACTTTGTTTTCAAACTTCCATATTTCATAAACCTACCCATACTGACACGACTATACACAATTCATCATCCCATCCAACACAACATAAACTGGCAGCTTATCATAGTATGTTACATAGATTAACAGAAATTCCGATGTCAAAATACAACTTTGAGACAGAATTAAATATAATTAAGCAGTATAATAGCAGTAAATAATGGATACAACGAACAAACAATTAATAAAATGTTAAATCAAAAACTACACAAGAAAGCCCTGAAATAGGTATTTCCACCACCAGAGAAAATACCCAAACACATAAAAAAGAAAGGAATAACACCAGCTTTCCGAACAAATAACAACCTAGGCAAATATATTAAAAATAACAAGAGCCAAAATAAAAAACACTTAAATAGTGGTGTGTACAAACTTCAATGTGGCGACTGCCTAAAAACTTACATCGGTCAAACTGGTAGAAACTTTTAACAAACGAATAGCAGAACATAAAAGGGCTTTCAATAATAGAAAAACAGATTCGACATACGCACTTCACCTTCTAGATCACAATCATTCTTTTAACGACGAATTTAAAATTCTTCACATTCAAAATAAAGGCCTTAAGCTATCTTCTCGACCTAACCTCGACATTAATTGCCGGTTTACTATATTTACAGATGATACCACAATTTTATGGCAAAATAAGGACTCTAAGGTACTGAACAAACTTACTAGTAGTGATATGCTGAAAATCTTATAGTGTTGCAAAGCTACGAATCATTTGACATTTAATTTTTCAAAAACCAAATTAATTTCTTTTAAGAATGATCTAAACAACATTACTGTGGGTGAATTTTTACTCGCTAAAATTTTTAGGTCTCTATATTGATAATAAACTTAAATTTGAGCAGCACACTGTATGTTTACGCAAAAATATATCATCGGGTTGCTTTGCGGTCAAATCAGTTGCTCACCATTTAGATTTCAAGATTGAAAAAGTGTTTATGTGGCCCTGATTGAATCTAATTAGAGATACGGTATTGCCTTTTGGGGTAGCTTTTCTTTTCATCATTTGTTCCGGAAATATGTAATCTTGACACATCCTTGCTCGTCTATCCTTCAATTAGCGTGCTTAATTAAAAAAAAAAACATAAAGAGGATATTCGGAGAATTCGGACAGACAGAGCAAACAAGAAGTTTTTATTACCTAAATGTTGCTACATTTTTTGAACAGTTGCGCTAATTGATATATTTTTTTCTTTTTTTTTTTTAATTACGGAAATTTTATAATTAGTATTTTAATGTATCTTGTGTCTTGTTTGTACTATACCATGTAGTGTTTTATAAATGTAAACTCATTTAAAAACAATAATTTTCTCTCTTTCACTCTCTCTCTTTCTCTTTCTCTTTCGCTCACTTTCTCTCTCTAGATCATCCGACTGGTCGCCAATATTCTTGGAGGACAAGGTACTTAACCAAGAATATAATAAAGTTGTAAGTGGATATTAGCATTGCATTGTGTTTTGATTTAAAAATCAAAATTGTTGAATAACACTTACCTCTGCTTTATACATTTTAATAAGACCAGCGTTGATTTTAGTCCACGTAGACACTCCACTAATACTCCATAATTGATTCGAATGTTCAGCAAACGGTCCCGTCTTCACCCTGTTAATATACTCTATGCAGCTCAAAAACATATATTCGGAAGAATGTTTTCGTACAATGTTATCCTTTAAAAAACACGTTGGTTCAAAATGGCCATTACCTAAAAACAAAAAGATATTGTTCAGTCTATAAATAGTTATATGTACAGTGCTCACCAAAATTTTAAATTAAAAAAAAGCTACAAAACTATAAACTAGTAATGAGAATAATATGTTAAGATTTAATTAACATTCTAATCTCTAATTAATTTGACATATCCTAATTATCCCCTCGATTACATACATTTGACTTAAATGTATTGATTCATATAAATCGAATGATAGTGCATGTTCACGCGATTACATTAATAATTCACCTGTGGATATTACTAAAAATGTTCATTTATCACTTCTGTTAAACTTACCTATAAATTGAGAACTCCCCCAGATAAATGGTACAAACTGGTAGTCATCTAAGCTCCACACCCCATGACTTCCTGCAGGTTCCATGTTGTATGTTGTTTGTAATTTACGAACTATCTCCAGGTACCTACAAAGAACATACAAAATATCAAAGAGGTAAATTAAATTCGTTTTTAATACAGAATATAATAGAATATACACAAAAAAACTGTGGCATTTTGTTTATCAATAATAATTGATCAAGATTTAGAAAATAGGAAAGACACATATATATATATATATATGTATATATAGTAGACACCCTCTATAACGAGAACTTAAGTGGCTGACTAATTACCTCGTTATAAGCCGATCTCGTTATATCCAAAGGCGAAGAAAGTTGAAAAGAAGTCTGCAAGTTATTATATTTTCTTAGACTACATGTTAAAATAAATAAAAATAGTTATGCACAACTAACCTTACGAATACTTTACAAGCAACTGCTGGTCCATCCCTGGTATTTAAGTATCCAATTTTGAAAAGAGCACACAGAAACATAAGGAATGACAGTTCATGGCCAGTTCCATAATCAATTCTAGTAGCATTGCCAAAACCTTCTATTAAATAAAGACTAACTTCTGGTATACTTTTGTGCAAATTTTCTGGAAAAATACTATGAAACAATTCGGCAGCTCCCTAAAAGTACATACATACATAAATAGTAATGTGGTGATAATGTTTTTGTAACATTTTTTATAATTAAAATATTAAACACATTTTAATCCCTTTACTTCTGTTGCTGATACGCCCATGGACGTATTCGCAAATGGCTTGTTAAATTTCATTGGAATCTCGACTTATTAAAGACGCCGGGTTGGTTAATCCTTTTCCGGTTTCAAGCGGGTTCTGTTTGATACTTTGGCGAACGTCGGCGTCGTCGAAAGCACGTTGTAGTGCTTTTCGGAGAGAACCTAATCCAAAAGGATTTATTTTCCTCACGTTCCTAGCTAGAAGGATCCCGTTATTTTCGATGTCGTTAGAACCTTTTTGTCTACCTAGAAATGGATACAGTCTGGCCTGTCATTTTAAGTGGGGGATATCCCATCTTATTCTTTGGGTAGTTTGGTAACTTTTAGAGAAGGAATATCACTTCTGGTAGGGCGGTCTTCTAGTAAAAACGCTTGCTCATATTATCGTCTCTGTGTTACCTTACCGTGAATTTTTTCTTTAAGTGTATACACTTATCCATTTGAGTTTTTTAATCTAATATCATATTAGATTAAATATTGGTATAAACTACCTTTAATTTAATTAACTTCAGTGCTTAATACAAGTAAAGTATTATCGCTTCAGTGAAGTAGTGCAGCAGTACATCAATACCAATCACTGTAAAATTCCATAGTATGAAAATCATAGGCCAAGGTCACATTTCTCTCGCAGCCCTAGCCAGTGAAGAAGAAAGTATATGTGATGATTATTAGAACAAAGTTTGCACTTTAAGCACAATTTGATTGAATGTTGTCTATTTATTGCATTCTAGGACATCCAAGTGATCTTTACAAATTTATGTTGTGAATTCTACGTACTTGCCTTGCCCACTTTAGTAAAAGGGATTTAATCTCCTAAACAACATCATTCTCATTATATAAACTACATTCATTTTACAAATTCCCAACTGTCAACAAACGCACGTGAAAGCCAAACAGTGTCGTACTGAGGTGTATCATATGATTTTTTAAAATATTTACTTTTGAAACTATTACTGTAAGAATCTTTTGAAATTTAATCATTGTGAGCAAAATTTAATGTTCCATTGAATAAATATGTGCTAAAATAAAATATTCATTAACTGAGGGATACATAACAAAGTGAACATTTTGAATAAAGTAGTATTGTCATAAGTTTATCAAAGCATAAAAACATACCATTTAAATGTCCCAGGAGACTGAGGAGTTACATGTGCTGCTGTCTTTGTCTGGATTTATTATTATCGGTTCTCTATTATATTGTCCAACTTCCACATTTTGGACTCGACTTTTTGTTGAACGTGTTGCACACATTTCTGCCACGTAGTTGGACTAATATTATTCATTGCATCATAAAAAATATTTTTCATATCTGCAAATTTAAAAGTAGTGTTTTTGGCTGCTACATATTTTTTTACTTCTGCCCAAATGAGCTCAATCGGATTGAGTTCACAATGGTAGGGAGACAGCCTTAACACTACTTTGTTTTGGCTTTTTGCCATCTGATCAATGATATATTTATTATATTGTCCCTATGTTCCTTAACGATAGCCAGCAGTTGCTATATTTTTGAAACAATGTTCGAAGGATTTCCTGTCCATCTCTTCATGGTAGTCCCCACTTTTTTTTATTCAAATACCCACAGCGGTTCTGGAACAAACCCATCTTCACTGCCAATGTGACAGATTATTAATCTTTTTCCTTTTCCTGAAAATTTTATTATTTTAAAATCTACTTGAAGTGAAAAAGCACATAAACATTTACCTGCAGGATTTTGTAACCCTGTAGAAAGTCCATTTAAAAACGCTTGTTTATAAGACGTTACCGAAGCTTCCACATACTTTAGATTTGGTGTGACCAGCGTTTAGCCAAGACTCGTCTAAGTAATAAATTTTGCGGTTTTCATTTCTGTAGGACTTAATTTTTATCAGAAATTCTCGTCTCCACAAGACAATTTCGTCCCAGTCCATCAAAATTCTGTTTGGCTGACGACGTTGAAACTTAAAATTTATTTCTTTCAATAATTTAAAAAACGTAGTTCTTTTGAAGTTAAGCAAAACCGGATCTTCATTAACAACCCTCAGAACTTTGTCTATTGTGGGTATTTCATTTCGAAAAAAGAATTGATGGATTATTCTTCTTATTGCTTCTCTGTCAAATTCATCCAGCGACAATACTTTTACGATACTCAACTGATTTTGGTGTCGACAATGTTTCCGTAATTTCATATTCATGAACCACATTGCGTACACTACGGCTACACACGCCTATAATAAATAAAAGTAACAATATTTATTAAATAAAGTGAAAATGCGCACTCTAAAATAAATGGTGGAGAAACAATATCAGTAGCTATTTTATCTGCTACTCTAATAGAAATCACACTTTTCGACATTGTAGGGTTCTCCTGCATTTCCGGTTTAAATACATTTATAATCATTTCCTTCGTTTTAACGTCAAAATGTCTCTTTACTGGTCATTTTTTTTTAGGTAGAGTGAGGGTTAAATCAATATCAAGGAGTTCATCGGCTGTATCAGTGCTTGACATTTCTGTTATTCTATTTATCTTCAATAACTTAATATACTTAGTTGATTGAGAGAATGTCAAAATAGCCTAGGGAAAAATATAATGTATTGTAATAAAACCAGCATCATCGAAAATATCGGTAAAGTTATGAAAATGCATTCTGTATACTTTTTCAAGTCCAAAAATATTCCGTTCACTCACGATAATACCTCCTCAAAGAGCAGCTTGTATTGACATGACATTTGGCATACACATAGCTAACATGTTAAATAAAAAAAGTTATATTGTGCCGATGTGTGTTTTTGCCCTAGGGGTGAGTTTCACCTATTCTCAGGGGTGAAAAACATACTTTCAAAATAAGTTAGGAATTAATGATTCCTAACTACCACTGATTCAATACTTTTCCAGTTATTTGCGAGTGAATATGTTCATTTTTTCAACAACAAAAAAACAAGGTTTTTAGACGGTTTTTGCAAATAACTCAAAAAGTAAGTATTTTATAGAAAAAATATTCTTAGCGAAAATATAGCTTATAAAATAGCAAAAAAAAATGGTGTAAGTATAAAGCCAGAAGCACATTTGTAGCTAATGAAAATTAGGTTACTATTCATCAAATTCCAAATCGAATATTTCAACGTGAAAGAATAAAAAACAAGCACTTTCCCCGACAGCGAGTTTTCGAAGAAAAGTGCTTAATTTTTTTTTGATATTTCTCGTTGAAATATTCGATTTGAAATTTGAATTACTTTTCATTAGCTACAAGTCTGCTTTTACTGAGCCTACAGACTTCATATAGGTATAAGTACATTACTTTTTTAAATTTTTTATAAGCTATAGTTTTGTTAAGAATATATTTTTCGGTATAATACTTACTTTTTGAGCTATTTGCGGAAAACCGTCAAAAAATGTTCTTTTTTTATTGAAAAATAATCATATTCACTCGCAAATAACTCGATAAGTATTGACTTTATGCAAAAACTGTATAAAATAAAAGTTGCTTAGAATTAGTCAGTTTATTCAATTCTGGACTTATTTTGAACGCATGTTTTTTCACACCCGAGAAGGCGTGAAACTCACCCCCATGGCAAAAGTACACATCGGCACAATATCACTTGTTTTCTTTGCCGTTAGCTATGTATATGCCAAATATCATGCCAATCCAAGCGGTTCATTAATATTTACAGTAAAAACCGTGAATCAATGGGCTAAAAAGAAAATAAAACTTTTCGAAACATCAATAAATTAAAATATTGGTTTCTCTTACCTTTATTAAAGTAGTTTTACAGCAAGCTATTTTTACTTTTGTTTAAAAAAACTTTGTTTTTGTATACTAAAAGTTCACTACACTATAAAACTTAATACTAAACACTTAAAAAACTCTAAAAAATAACACAACTAGTAAATAATTTAACAATAACTATAATATATAACACACAATATATTAACTTAAAACCAACACGCTAAAAATACAATTTGAATTTAAACAGACTGGCAAGTTTGGACCTGTAAAATGCGTTTCAACACGTGCGTTTGTTGACAGTTGGGAATTTGTAAAATTAATGCACTTTAGTTCTTTTATTTTTATATTTGTTCTTATTCTATAATGGTATAATGTGCTCTTGTTATGATAAGGCCCGAAAATTGTACTAAATATTTTTCTTTCTTTCAAAAATATGTATAGTAAATGAAATTTATTCTAGCTTTGTGTTGCATCATAAAAATTTAATTAAAATATAGAGTGAATGTTATGAGTGGTTCTCATGAGTTACAGTAAGCTCACATTAAAGAATAAGTTCCTAATACCCGTTCCCATTACATGCATTGTTATGCCAACCAAGAAAACATTTTGAAAAATTATAAATAAGATTTCCAGAGCAGTTGCCACTAGATGGAACTCTGCACATTCATACATCATCATCTTTGGCTCGACAATCCTCTGTGGATCTTGGCCTGCTCTAAGATTCGTCGCCATTCTGTTACTTCTTTTTCCTACAGGTGTTCCTGTGGTTAGCTTTTTAGCAATGGTATTTTCTGGCATTCGTATTATGTGTCCAGCCCATCTAAGTCGCTGTGTTTTAATGAACGTTATGACATCTGGCTCATCAAAGAGCTGATACAATTCAAAATTATATCTTCTGCGCCACTGCCCTTGGTCGTTTACAGCTCCAAATATTTTGCGGAGTATTTTACGCTCAAATATTCCCAAAAGTCTTTCATCTTTCTGCGTTAGTGTCCATGTTTCTGCTCCATATGTGAGGACCGGCCTCAGCAATGTTTTGTATATAATAATTTTAGTTCTTCTTTGAATATTTCTTGAGTGGAAATGCTTTTGGAGTCCATAGTATGCCCTATTTGTAAGATTTATTCGTCTTTTGATTTCTTCGTTTGTTTTATTGGTAGCAGTCAATAGCGACCCAAGGTATGTGAAGTTGTCAACATGTCCAAAGGTATGACTTCCAAAGACTGTTTCTTGTTCCTCATTTGCTATCGGATCCTTTGTAACCAACATGTACTTGGTTTTGTCTTCGTTGATGACTAGACCGACCTGTTTCGCCGCTGTTTCCAATTCTAGGAGATATTGCTCAACATCTCGCTTGCTATGCCCTACTATGTCAATGTCATCAGCATATGCTAAAACTTGTATCGATCTATTGTAAATAGTACCGCCATCCCTAATTCGTGTATCTCGGACTGCCTTTTCTAAGGCAATATTAAATAGGAGGCAAGCCAGAGCATCTCCTTGTCTGAATCCATCCTTTATCTCAAAGGATCTAGAACTCTCTCCCTGTATTCTAACAGTGGCTTCTAAGTTAGACATTGTCATTCTCGTTAGTCGGATAAGTTTCTCTGGTATACCAAACTCATGCATTGATTGGTATAGCACTGTTCTCTTGACACTGTCGTATGCGGCCTTGAAGTCGACGAATAGGTGATGGGTTTCAACATTGAATTCTAATGTTTTCTCGAGAATCTGTCTTATTGAATGAATCTGGTCAATCGTTGATTTTTCTGGAGTGAATCCAACTTGATATTTACCAACTATGCCCACTGTGTAAACTTGCAACCTTTCGTAGAGAATATTTGCTAGTATTTTGTAAGCAGTTGTTAACAGGGTTATACCTCTATAGTTGTCACACTGGAGCTGGTCACCTTTTTTATGTAACAGGCATATCACGCCTTGAGACCATTCACAAGGCATGGTCTCATTATGCCAAACAAGAAGTAAAAGCTTATGCAGTGTCTGTAGTAGGGCATCGCCACCATTCTTGTAGAGCTCACTGCAAATTTGATCAACTCCTGGTGATTTATTATTTTTAAGCTTTTTAATGGCTTGGGCAACGTTTTTGATGGTAGGCACCATCATGTATGCACATTTATACAGTTATCTTTTTTTTTAAACATCGAGAAAATCACAGGCATGTTTGAAGATGTGATAGATGTATTAGTTCAGATGAAGTTTCAAATTTGAGTAGTGTGTCAGAAAATCAAGAATCCTTGTTATGATTGACAGTCTATCTTCTTCCACGTCTCTCTATTGTCTCTGTATTGAATCCACTTCGGGCCTGCGTGTTTCTTCAAGTCATCTGACCATCTCATTTGTGACCTTCCTCTTTTTCGTTTGTAACTGTATGGTCTCCAGTGTATAATCATCTTATCCATTGCCAAAGATCTTTTAGATGTAATTAAAATGCTATTTTACTAATTAATAATAAAAATTAAACATTATTAATATCATATTAAATTTTCAATTTTTTTATGAAAACATTTTTTGAGTGGTTAGGTTAACCAAACTTCTAACTACTCCTAACAAAAATTAATTATTGATTTATATATCCAATGCCCATAAGATTAGAGGAGGAATAGAAAGAATGAAACTTACATCTTTGACTTTTGCATACCACTGTTTAAATGCTTGATTACCAAATCTTTGCGGCTGCTGAATAGGAGGAATTTCATCAATCCATGTGTCCAAAGAGTTTAGAAGACTGCAAATCTTATTAATTTCTTCTGAAGCATCAGCACTACCAGCTGAATTGCTTTTACATTTAATTGCCTCATTTAAAGCACAAATAAATCCCAAATATTCCTGAAAAAGTATTAGTAACCAAATTAGATTGTAATAAGCAATTAAATCTTAGTGTTTAGTCTTTAATTATAGCAGGAGTCAAATTTAGTTAGATTTGGATGTATAAATGTAAAAATAACTATAACTTTGAATGTTCCTAACAAAATAATAAAACCTTTTATCTGATAGACAATAAAAGGAAAATGTTAAGGCTGTTTTCGCAGTTATAGCATACTGCGATTTGAAGTGGGCGTATCACTTACTTTTCTAATATGTACTTGCTTATGTCAGACCGTACGTGCCGTACCGAATTTAAAAGTTTGGATGTTTATTCAGTGGCGCCGGCCGACGGGTTGTTTAATGATAATAAATGCATTATTCTCCATTCAAATTAGTTTTGTCGGAATACTTTTTTTTTTATTAATTATCGTCGATAATGTTTTAAAAAGAATTAATCACATTTTTAATTTATATGTCTTAGCTAAACATAGTATTAAATAAAAATTTGTGAAACGTGACTGCAAAAAACACCATGGTGTTTATTTATAATAAATTTAAAAGAACATACGAATATTATTATCAAAAAAATTACAATTTGTTGTCACAAACAAATAAACAATTTCGCAGTTATAGCTTGAAAATTATTTCAATAAATTATTTATTTGTTAGAGAAAACTGATATTAGCGTAGTAAAAATTAAACAAAAAATATTTTTATTTATCTATAAAAAATTGGTACCTGCGAAACCATCATAATAGTAAATGTATTTATTTGGCAAGTATTTCGAGGCGACGCACTGCGAGGAAAAAGTTCTCTGAATGGAATATACATTATTTTAATATATTTATAGGTTGCAGTTACATAAGAAAAGTATCCAATTGATGAATAAAATACAAATCGTGGATAGTTATTTCATCATCATCAGTGGCATTACAGCTCGTCATGAGCCAAAGGCTTCTTCAGAACAATCTTCCATTCGCCCCTGCCTCTGGCAACTTTCTCCATGCTTTAACTCCGATGGATTTTAGATCATCCTCTATGTTATCTTGATACCTAAGTTTTGGTCTTCCTCTGGATCGTTTTCCCACTGGTCCTCTTCGGTCGAAAATTTTTCTGATCGTTTCATCTTCATCTCGCCTAATTACATGTCCTATCCATCAAAGGCGTACTAATTTAATAAATTTTACAACGTCAGGTACTACACCTGAAGAAGCATCATAGTTTACTTTATACGATCTTTTTGACCAAGCACCATCAGCTATAACGGTTATTAACCCATTTCCGTCGGAATCTACTTCACCAATTTCTTTGGCTAAAGCTAATTCCTCCCGTCCAGCCTCTTCTAAGGAATCACAAAGTGTTTGGCTGATGATATCTGCAACTATTTCCGTATGTTTTGCATACTGTTTGTAGGACATCACAGGTATATTTAATGCAGCGTGCTGCTGCTGTATGTCTGAATAACCAGAACCATTCAAGTTCAGTGAATTGTTACCAGAATCCTATGTTGCTATCTCCTTTTCAATATTCCTCATTTAACATTTAAAAGTCAATGTACTTATCAATCCGTCCATTTTTTCTTTGATAATCTCCATATTAGAAAAGTTGCATGAAAATGGAGAATGATTATTCAAACCTTGAATAGATTTAATGAAAAAGTTTATGTCCACTATTCTTCTGTCTTCTACCGAAAAAGATGGTTTTTTGCGGAGAGGCAATCTCAACTGACTGAGAATGACAGCTATTACTAGAAATAACGATAAAACTTAAAGTATTTTCTGCAAATGATATTATTTGTTATTATTATTATTTAAGAGTAAAACATTGGTAATATTTTGACCATAAACAAATAATATGTAAGGTCATGAACCCTCTATTTACTTACTTTACGGTAAGTAAATAAAAAAAAAGTAAAAAGGGTTACTTACGAATCGACACTACAACTAGGTAAAGTAGATGTTTCTGCTAATTCTTGATGGATTGAACCATGATACTATGAATAACAAGATAGGCTCTTCCCGTATCACAAAATCGGTCGTGTTCGCGCATGCTGTCATTGGAGAGTAGAATTTGAATTCTTGTTAAAGTTAAATGGGATTTGTATGCATTCTGTAATGAAATTACTAGACGAAAATAAGTTAAGAGGTTTAATAATTACAATAATTGTACACATAAGGATATCTCCAAACTATTTATTAAAGATTATTTGTTGACACATACAAAAAACTGACATTTCGAATGTCAGATATATATATATATATATATATATATATATATATATATATATATAAAGTTAAATAAAAGCTTTTAAAAACGGTTGTAATATAAATAATAAATACTTACTGCAGTGCAATTGCTCTCGTTTTCCTTGACATAGGACGTTTACTGGGACTCATTTTTTATCTTGTCTCTTATAACTTATATCACTAACCTAATGTAATACTTAAAAATACGCGTAAACTAAAGAACTTTTAACTTATACCACTAAACTAATAATATATTACTTAACATACGCGTAAACTAAATAATTTCAATGTTTTCAAAATAAATAAGAATACTGTAAACTGTAAAAACTAAGCAAGTTGATAAAGAAAATACAAGAATGAAAGAACTAAAATGGATTAATTCAAGCGAACTAACTGACCGTACCCATAGAAAATAAAAATAAGACCGTACCGTACGTTCATGAGATATGACGTCACTATCGATCAAGCTCAGCGACAATGATGAGGAACACGTTTCACTATTAGATTTCAGTATTTTTTAGCAATTTTCTTCAAAGTTTGAATACGCTTTTCTCGATTATTACTGGACACAGAAAGGTGAAAAAAGAATCAACGATTACAGAAAAAAAAACTCTTTCAACTGATGGGCGTGAAAAGTTTGGTTATAATAGAACGTTAAACAGTATAATCCAATTTTTCAACGGAAAATTCAAAAAAATAAAAAAAGTAAAACCATCAGTTTAAAGGCAACATAATTTCGTATAACATGTCCAAATTTCGAGACATTTCGTCGGTAAATAACAGAGAAAAAATTTTGGTGCACCGATAAAACAGCCTTAATTCAAAATTTAACTAGGGTGTTCCATAAAAAAACACTTCAATTAGTTCAGTTTTATGGGACATTTGAAATTAATTTTACTTTATCTATGATTTATGAGTAACTCAATTTTCTCTACCCCATCTGACAACCCATATATAATGAACTCCACAGTACAAATCCAATACCTTCTATATAAGAGTTACACTAAAACTTTTATACACTAAACAAGCACATCAAGACCTTACACCTCAGTGATTATACTTTCTTGAAAACTTATAAAATGGATAGGGATAGCTGAATTAGATTTTATATCGGGTACTGCCCTATTGTACCTTCAATAAATAATGATTTTTTAAATTTACTATACAAAACTTACGTGATAAGCTTCTGATTTTTCCCAATGTTGCATATCACCCATATTTTTGACTTGCTTAGTAGGAGTAATGTATACATGGTTTTCTGGAAGAACAGCTGAAAATGAAAATTATTTACATATATGAAGGAACAGTAAATTGGGTTTTATTTTCTATTGTTCTAATCTAACATTTAATAAAAATATCACTTGTATTTTTCCTGTATGTATGTAAAGCATTTTCCTGTATCAGTCTCACTTTCGACAGTTTTTTATTGTAGTATGAAATTGACTGTATCATGATTACCCTTTTTCTTAGATTGCAGATCTATTTCCAATTGTTAAGTCGCAGTCATATTTAACAGAAGTTTTTTTCTAATGTCCTTTCTTTCTATTAATGTTTTTAAAGGGTTTAAAATATTTTTTGTATTTTTTATGTCCACCTTCATTTTTAATATATATTTCTTTCGAGTCATGACAAGGCGTTTAAAGGTAATCCTATATAAATTTGAAAAGGACCAGAATATGGTTTGCAAAAATTTTAAAAAGAAGCAATTAGTAATTTAAATTTTTACCATTTTTAACTACTATTTTACTAGCATTCATTTACTTCTGTTTTGTTAAAATTACCTGCATCATTTTTCTTAACATTCATTATTGTAAAGGTGTATTGGAGAATTTCACAATAAACTTTAATTGAAAAACAATTTTTAACCTATTTTGTATCTTTCCTATTTTATTTTAAAAATAAATATTAGTTTTTGACATTTGAAAGGTTCTCTCGGTGAAAGAAGCGACGTTGTCAGTCTTTCATCGGAGACAGATGTTGTTCGGTGGATATACTCTATTCATTTAAATTCATCGAGTTTTTAAATTACATAAACAAGAAATAAATATTCTAGAAATGGAAAAAGAAAGCGGCTATCATCGTACCAAATTCGAGGTTCTAAATAGTGCAGGGTGTATTTCGTGTAAAAGAAAAAAATTTAGTTTCTGGAGAACATAGAGCAATTTATTATTTTGTCATGCAGTCCATTCATGAGACCATGAATTCATGATATGGAATGGCTCTTGTTCGCTTGTGAAATAATATTAGCAATCTTTATTGGCGATTTTCTATAACAATGTCTGGGAATCTTGGCATCTTTCGTATCCTGGTGATGCTTCCCAGATGATACAACAAGGCTTTTAAATAATTTTGTTTTTTGTTTTGCTAATTATTTTTTGGCGGTTTTGTAATATCTTCTTTAAAGTTAATTCTTGTCACATTTAGTGGCGGTTGTAGATTAGTACGAGTACCTAGTACACTTGTCAATTGATTGCAAAACGACTATTAGTTCTAACAACAAACGGCTTCCGAAAAGTGTCGTAGAACTATAAATTCTGTGCGTCATCCTCCACACCATACATTCTGTGACCAAATATTATGTATCGATCATCATTTTTATTGTTTTTATTGTATAAGAATTTTCATTAAGATGACTACATTATCTGCAAAAGCGACTGTTTTCACCCCTTCCCTAAGCTTTAGCTATAATGTTCCGTTGTGCATGATGTTCCACAGTATCGGCATAGTATAAAAAAGACTTTGCATTGTGGTTAAACCATCGAGCAATAAGACAAAAGAGGGAATGTAAAGGTAGAAGGGGTAAACATATTGATAGACAGGAAGTGCCATCTTGAGAGGCCACTTTAGACAAGGATAGACAGTCTCTTTCCTTGTTTAAGAAGTCAAATTTAGTTTGGTTATGTTATTGTTTGTCCCAACTGTCACATGAAATTTTATTTATATTGAAGTTTTTTACCAATTATGTCACTTTTTAGACTATTATCGTTAATATTTAATTAAAACTTTCTAGTCTGAAAAATATTTTATAGCTATTGTTAACAAATGTTGGAAAATTTAAATTTAGCGCCTTTGCATTTCCGGATGTGTCCGCCATCAGAGGCCACTTTTTTGGTCTCCTTTTTATAACGATTAGATTCCCTCTTTTGTCTTATTGCTCGATGGGTTAAACTGTGGTATCGGTCACAACACCGATCCTTTTAGAATTCCCGACGTTGTGTCCAATCATTTTTTCTGGGTATTATTATTTTTCTGTTTGATAGATAATCACAAATATTTGTTAAATATGTAACTATATGCACGTCTTTCATTCTTTTGATTGCCATGGCCGAATTTGCTGTATTAAAGGCATTTTAATATCAAACATTCTTAGGTATAACTACCCATTTTATTTTGATGTCTTTAACTTGTTTCGCTACTAATTATATTGCATCAATTATTGATTTTCTTTCTTGGAATTCAAATGTTGTTTCGATATTTGTTTATCTAGTGGGGAGTGTTATATTTTCATTTTCCACTTTATATTGATGTGTTTATTTGGCGACACACATTTTTAAAATCAATAGAAGATACAGATTTTCAATCTTTTTTATGTGAAAGTATATGTAAAACATATACGAGGTGTGTTAAAAAAATAACCGAAATTTCCGTTTTTTGAAAAAAATATTTATTTATTCGTCTACATTAATGTCACCTTCAAAGTAGTCTATATCAGATATTATGAACTTGTGCCAACGCTTCTGCCAATTCTTGAAACACTTCTCAAACTCGATCTTTGGGATATCCTTTAGTTCTATCAGCGACGCGCTTTTAATGTCATCTATGCTTGTGAAACGACGCGACGGTCCTTTAAAGTTTTCTTAATTTTTGTAAATCGGAAAAAGTCACACGGAGCCATGTCTGGTGTGAGTTGGTGCATTATCGTGTTGGAAAAGCCACGAGTTGTTTTTCCACAATTCGGTCTTTTTGTATTGCTTCACGCAAACGGCGATGAACTTGTAGATAGTACTTTTTATTGACCGCTTGACCTCGTGGCAAACATTCATGGTGCACTATTCCATTAAAATCAAAAAACACAGTGAGCATAACGTTCGACCGCACTTGTCGAACTGGAACGATTGAACTTTAGTTTCGAGGTCATATCCATAAATCCATGTTTCGTCACCTGTTATAATAATCCATTTGAGTAAATCTGGGTCATCGTTTACGTCATTTATTGACTCCCGAGCAACTTCTATTCGCTGCTGTTTTTGTTCAAAATTCAAAAATTTTGGAACAAATTTTGCCACGCGTTTCATACCCAAAACTTTTGAAAACATGTAATGAAACTTTTGAAAACAGCGACTTCTCTGACCCTCCTTTCGCGCAATATGACTTTGGTCGTTACGACAATTTACCGTACATTCCATTAGTCCAATAAAGCAATACACGGCGACTTTCACAACTAACTGTCGTGCCGTTCGGCTGCTGTCCACTGCCACTGCAACGGACGATGGTCGTGTCGTGTTAACAGTGAAACACGGCATGTAATCAATGCTTGCACACGTAACGACAGTTAGTCTTGTAGTACCAGTGAATCCAGTGGCATGTACATAATGGCAGAAAACATAGACGGTGAATTTTTAATTGCGCTGGTACAAAGTAGACCGGTGTTGTAGTTAAAACTCAAAATGTATATAAAGACAGAAATACGACAAGAAATGCATTGCGTGAAATTGTAATGGAGGTTAACCCTGACGTTGAAAAGCTAGAGGATCAGGAGAAAAATAACTTTGGTAAGTTTTCTTCTTCTTCTTCAGGTGCCATCTCCGCTACGGAGGTTGGCAATCATCATAGCTATCTTAATTTTTGAGGCAGTAGCTCTAAATAGTTGTTTTGAGCTGCACCCAAACCATTCTCTCAGGTTCTTCAGCCATGAAATTCGTCTTCTTCCGATGCTTCTTCTGCCATCTATTTTTCCTTGCATTATGAGTCGCAGGATGCCATACTTATCGCCCCGCATCACATGTCCGAGATACTGTAGCTTTCTTTCTTTAATTGTAAGTTCAATTTCCTTCTCTTTGCCTATTCTTCTCAGTATTTCATTATTTGTAACTCTATCTACCCAGGAAACCCTCATAATTCTTCTATAAGTCCACATTTCAAAGGCGTTAAGTCGTCTCATGGTATCTAGATTTAACGTCCATGATTCCACTCCAAACTGGTAAGTTTTACCTAAAACTGGTAAGTTTTACTTACTTTATTTTGCATGTTGCAAGTATACAACAAAGAATAAATATGTTTCTACGGTAAACTCTCGAGATTATTCGATAATTTGACGAATATTAAGAATGTGTTTTCTTGTTCCTCTACCTAAGACGAATCAGCATTGTTCTTGGGGAATTTGTGGCAAGAGAATTGATTTTAGTCTTTCATTGATGATGGTTAGAAGTACTTTGCGCGCGTGTGATATCAATGCTACTGTGCGGTAATTACTGCAATCTGTCGGTGAACCTTTGTCATATAGGGGAATAAACGCTAATTTACCCCAGTCATTTGGCCACTTTCCGGTATTCCAAATTCTAAGCATTACTTGCGTCCCTAATTCTCCCATTTCTTTGAGTGTTTCAGCTGTTATTCCATCTTCTCCTTCTGCTTTTCTGAATTTTAGCTTTTTAATTACCGCCTTAATCTCTGATTTCAATATTTGAGGTTCTTTTTCATAACTTCTACAGGGTGGTGAATCGTCAAACGGGCCATAGGAAACTCAATGAGAAATTCTAATTGTTGAATTCCTGCTTCCCTAATTATTTTACACCAAAAGTCATCGGAAACTATTTGTAGAGGACTCAAATATGTATCGAAAACAATTGTTAAAATTGTTCTACGACTTTAACGTATTCCAAAATTTTGCTAAAATATAATACATTTTTCAGGCCACCCCTAAAAGTCAGGCCAGACGCCGTGAAAAGAATGTGTATTACGTGTTGCGTTTTGTCATATTGACGTTTCTAATATTTGACAAGTCTAAATGCTTGATCGACTCCTGAGCGTCAAATTGTATCCTAGTCTAATATCCCAAATTATATAAGATAAAAAGATGAGAAAAAATAATAATTATATGTATGTATATATGTATAAATGTATGTATAAAAAAAAACACAACAAATAATTCAAAATAAGCTGAATATATATAAGAGTAATACAAGTCTAAGGTATAATTGTAAAATTAGATATATAGGAAATAATTCTTTGTAAAATTAGAGCAGGACTATGATTGTATAGCAATCGAGAAGAAAGCAAGGAGCACTCCTTTATTGCTTCCGAATAAAAAATTCAAAATTATCCCATAAAGGTAAAATGGCGAATGGACAGAGTCTCCGAAGCCAATAATGTACAAACTCACACACACACAATATTTGACAATATTTAAATCAACTATATTATATTTATCTATGATTTAAATGGCCAAAATTTTGTGATTTATTATTTAAAAGAAAAATTAAGTTGATTAAAAAATGTACTCAGTTAAGGAGAAAAGAGCAATAATAAAAATGTTTTATTCATGTTTTATTATAACATTTGTTATAGTTTTATGTTTAGAAATTATCATATATTATTATTAGGAAAAAAGATCACAGCAACAGTATATTGGAATTCATTGAATTGTTGTATAACTTAACTTAACATGGAATTAAATTTTAGTGTATTAGAATATCTTACGTTAAATAAAGATCCGGTAGTGACAGGAAAAGGTTCGCGCTATTGCCTGAATACAACATTATGCGATTTTTCGTCAACTGAGTACATTTCATTATATTAATCTTTTGTAAACAATATAATTTATTGTTCACAAAGTAATATTGTTCAGTAGTAGTAGTATTTAGTAAAATTCATTGTTTATAATTTAATCATAAAATAAAAAAAATTGACAATTCAAATTGTCAAACATCTGATATCGATATGATAAATGGATAGAACACACACTTTTTAATATATTCTTGTATTACGTGTGGCCTAACTATTAGGGGTGGTCTGAAAAATCTATTATATTTTTGCAAAATTTTGAAGTACATTTGATTCGTAGAACGGTTTTAACATTTGTTTTTTTATTCAGAATTTAATCCTCTACAAATAGTTTTTTATGACTTTTGATCTAAAATAATTAGGGAAGCAGCAATTCAACAATTTAAAATTTCCCATTGAGTTTCCTATGGCCCGTTTGACGATTCACCACCCTGTATAGAAACTTCAATAAAAATGCAATTTGATCTAAAAAAATTTATTTAAAAATATATATATATATTGTATACATAACAACATTCAACAATAAACCATGTCTTTTAATACACTTTAAGCATCGTAAGTGGAAGCAGAAACGTTTCCACCGTGGCCTGTCCAGTTGGTGTGAACGAATTTACCTTCTTTGCCCAATAATTCATATGTGTGTGCACCGAAGTAGTCTCTTTGAGCTTGCAAAAGATTTGCCGGAAGACGCTCAGATCTGTATCCGTCGTAGAAGGCCAAAGCAGTACTTAAAGCTGGAGTTGGAATACCTTAAAAAACAAATATAGTGTTAGATTAATATTATCAAATAAGAAAATACATACACTTCATCTAATTTATATAACGATGCACGTCATCGGCGTCATAGACTGTGACGTTACATGATACCAAAACAAAATATTTAGGGTTGTAGGTGTGTTCTTTTTAGAATCACTTTACCGAGTACACTAGCATTACAGCCACTAGACATATTTTATTATATACGAGTAGAAATAATATTTAAAAATTTCTATTAATGTTAACTTAAAGAAATGCACAATAATATGTTTCATTTAATTTGTATAAATGCATTATAAAGCGTTTTTATCAAGAGCATTTGTTCGGAACACACTGTAACTGTAATCGAACAAAGCTAAAATTTTGGCATAAATTGGTAACACTTATTTGACAGTTGCGGTGTTGACACTTCTTGTACTTCATTATTTTGAATTTTAAAGTGAATATCTCTTGTTTTATATTTTTAACTATTTAATAAAATCTGTTCTTTTTAGAACAAAATTAGTGTGTTTTATTTCAAAAATGTCACGTAAGAATTTAAATAGACAGAGAAAGGTTTCAGGAAATTGTAAACATGATGACGGCCAACGTCTGAATACGGACACGGCACCCAAAGAAGAAGAATAAGGGAAATGATTTCAAACTTTGCAAGAGGTAAGGAGAAATTTTTATATTTCTTAAAAAAAAGAGGACTTATTTGATATTCTATATGAAGCACATTGAAGTATTGGCTATGAAGGAAGAACAAGAATGTTAAATTTTTTAAATGATACATAAAAAATATAACACAAGAGGTAGTACCTCTTTTTTAAATTTTGCATATCATGTCAGCAAAAATTCAGTTCAAAAAGAAAAGGTCTTTTGTAAAACCTATGATATTTTCTGAAATGAATAGTCGGTGTCAAATTGATTTGATCGACATGCTATCCGAAGCTGATGGACCATTTCGTTTCATCTTTCTATATCAGGATCTCCTTACAAAATTCGTGTAATTAAGATCTTTAACTTCAAAGAAGGCAGATGAAGTAGGTACACATTTGGTAGAAATTTTCTGCATTTATGAAGCACCCTCAATACTCCAATCGGATAATGACCGTGAGTTCGTTAACACAGTAATAAATCAACTGAAAAATATGTGTCGGATTTAAAAAATTGTTCATGGAAAGCCTCGGCAGTCAGTCGCAAGGAAGCGTCGACAGGGCTAATCGTAACATTCAGGATATGCTAATAACGTGGATGCAAACAAATAGTACATCTAAATGGTCTGAAGGCCTTAAATGTATTCAATTAATGAAATGCAGGGCCTGGGTGCCAAAGTCATATGCATGCAACAACTGCAAACTTTTCTTTGTTCCTTCTTTGTTTTTCCTTATCTTGAATATAACAGTAGTGTTTTTACAATTACTTTTAATTTGGGATTTTAGATATTCAAGAGGTCATCTACTCTATAAGTAGTGTTTAACTAATTAAGCAGTGGCGTTACTATTGACTACGTAACTGCAAACATGTTAGACAAAATGAACGAGTCTTCCGATTTTGACTTATTTTTTAGAAATAATTTAAGAACTTAAAATTACCTTTGTATAAAGAAAAACTAATTATAATGATATCTCCAATGCTTTTTGTTTTATGATTTTCTAAAATAAGAAAGTGTCCGCATAACATCCTGCATTTTGCTAGATACATATATATTTTTAATTTTGACGGACACAGTACTTGATAAGTTTTGAGATAATGAACAGAAATTATATATTTAAATATATTTTTTGGAGATTATAAAACACAAAATGTGGTTTGAGAATATGACATTACGCACAAGAACTTATCGCATAACTTAAAACACTTTAAATATTACACAATCAAGATTTATGATATCGGAAACCATTATCCCACTCTTATTTATACCTTTGTTAAAGATAAGAACTCATTGTTTCACTTCCGAATATAAATGTATTTAAATTAGCGGTTTTTAAATTTATATTTTGGTCTCTAGGTCGGTTCTTTGGTATGAAGAACGATATGCATATTTTTAAAGTAATACACAAATGTCTCACATTATTTAAATATTCAATGTAAAACATATGAACAGTATTATAACGATTTTCCACCTGACTCAACTGATTAATGGAAAACCAAATATTGTTAAACTTCTTCAACATTCAAAAATTATTAAATTTTTGTTTATTTTATCTTTTCTGAAAAATTAACTTTAATAACATGACCAAACTATCTCCAAACATCAAAGTTCAAACGTTATGTACACAAATCTAAAAAGTTAAAAATAATCTTATACAGTACGGAAAATCTTTCAGCTGGACATAGGTAATATACATTGAGGTAAGTGTGGCAACTGCGCTTACTTTCTCAAGTCTATGCCAATATCATACGATCCTAAGCAATAGCGATACGATACAATTGATAACACGATAATCGACACCTTAGAATATCTTAGCTGTACGCATTTATTTTTAATTGGTACCGTGAAGCGAAGAGTATCGTTTTAAAATGTTTATTTAGTCTCGCATACCACAGTTAATAAAGTTTTAAACAAATATGGCTTTAAGAGTTTAAAATATTCGAAAACTCTGGAGTTATTTCCCAGAGATGAAGAGATCAATTTCGTAGAATGAAGTTTTGTGAAGCTGCAATGAATGCATCTCACAAAAATGACACTTTTATAGAAAATAGTCTTTTCGCCGATGAATCGTCATTTTCAGCACATGTGGATCGGCATTTTTAGGTGACCGTGTAATTGGCCCTGTGGCCGGTCTAGCTTTCGTGGAGGAGGAGCTCTGAACTGAGTAGGGGCTCTTCTGTACTTCATGGAAGACAGACTGGGCGGGGATGTCCTCAACCTCGACACGGCACGTCCCATATGGCTGATAGGGAAAGTTCCTGCAGATATGCAGGACAGGTACGAATAAGGCATTGCCAAATAAGTACCCGCGGATCAACTGAGGATATGACATTAGGCAGCAGTAATGTCATTACTGGATTAAGGCTGTGGGAAGTAAAAATCCTGTAGGTTTATTCCAGATACTCACAGGCGTCATTCACATTATGAGTTAAGCGGCTGTGATACTGCGATGGGGAAGGCAACGGGAAACCACCCCATTATGATCCCTAGTAAAGTTATCATGGAATCAATGAATGTAACGAATACTACTGATCATGGGCTGCGGAACTCAAGATCCGGCAGGGGAAGGAATACACAATCAAACCACAGGGCTTCCCAGGTCGCTAGCCAGCGAAATCCCTGTGAGGAAAACATCACTAGACATACGATGAAAATGAAGAATCCATACAAAGTGGCTACATGGAATGTAACAACCTTATATGAAGCCGGTAAGTTGAGAAATCTACTCTCTGAAATGGACAGATTAAACATTACTATCATGGGGGCGAGTGAAACAAGATGGCCAAACAAAGGGAATTTCAGTGCAAATGGTTACGCCGTTTATTTTTCTGGAAATCAAGACCATATGCATCGAAATGGTGTAGCAATAATTATCAAACAGCATATTAATAAGTATGTCACTAACTTCATCCCAATATCAGACAGAGTAATTTTAATACAGCTGAATGCTAAACCTGTAAATATAAATATCATCCAAGTTTATGCTCCCACTGCTGACGCAGATGAGCAGAATATTGAAGAATTCTACCATTAAATAGAAGAAGTGCTAAAAATAACAAAGAAACACGAAGCAATAATAATTATGGGTGACTTCAACGCTAAAGTTGGACAGAAGATGACGCAGGGGATCACCGGAAAGTTTGGCTTGGGAGACAGAAATCAAAGAGGTGAACGGCTAATAGAATTCTGCCAAGAAAATGACTTCGCCATTACAAATACCTGGTTTCAACTTCCAGAAAGGCGTCTTTACACGTGGAAATCTCCTCAAGATGGACATCAAGGCAGAATAGTACGGAATCAAATAGACTACATCCTAATAAACCACCGATTTCGAAACAATATTAAAGATGTAAAAACTTACCCCGGCGCTGACATAAACTCAAATCACAATTTACTCTGCTCCAAAATACAAATTAAATTGAAGAAATTAACAAAGCCAACTAAGCCTTGTAAGATATATCTCGACCCCCTGAAAAACCCTCAAACGCGCGAACACATAACACAGCAAATAAATAGTAAAATACACAGAATATCAAATATACCAAACGAAAACAAAACCATTAACGAATGCTGGTATGCCATTCAAAACTCGATTTTAGAGAACGTACAAGAGTCTTTGAAAACACCTACCATGTTGGCAAAAAATGAGTGGATGACACAAGAAATTCTAGATCTGATGGAAGTTCGACGGCAACACAAAAATAGAAATATTATCGAATATCGTGAAATTAATAAACGCATAAAAAGAAAAATTAAGCAAGCCAAAGAATCCTGGCTTGAGAATTTATGTAAAGAAATAGAAGACCTCCAAAAAAAGCATGACAGCTTCAACCTGCATAAGAAACTTAAATATACTGCCGGAATTAGAAAACAGAAAAATGCTCACATACTTAAAAGCGCGGACGGAAAAATTTGTGATCACGAACAACAGTGCAAAGAATGGGAGAGATACATCACTGACCTTTTTGACGATGCTTCTAGGGAAAATGCTCCAAATACTGCCTATGACAACCAGTTGGACAGAGGTCCCAATATACTGAATTCGGAAGTCGAAAAGGCAATACAGCAAGCCAAAAACAATAAAGCACCTGGACCAGATCAAATCCCTGCCGAACTACTTAAACTTTTGGATGAGGAAAGCATTGCCTGCTTAACCACTTTCTTCAACAAAATTTACAACGAAGGAAAAATACCAGATGATTGGTTAGAGTCACTGTTTATAACATTACCAAAGAAAAGCAGGCCCACCAAATGCAGCGATTTTAGACTAATCAGTTTGATGAGTCACACACTGAAGATACTCTTACGAATTATACAAAACCGAGTATTCCTTCTATGCGAAAGTAAGATGGGTGATAAGCAATTTGGATTTAGAAACGGTCTAGGAACTAGAGAGGCACTATTCTGTATGCGCGTTCTATTACAAAAAAGTTGTGAATTCCGAAAGAATGTTTATGTTTGTTTCATCGACTTCGAGAAGGCGTTCGACAGAGTCCAACACAATACACTTTTCGACTGCCTACGGGCAGCAGGACTTGACCACTATGATATAAGACTGCTGAAATACTTATATTACAATCAAGTAGCCTCTATCCAAATTGGAGACAGTCCCACTGAAAAAATACCCATCAAACGTGGAGTACGGCAGGGTTGTGTTTTGTCACCCACTCTTTTTAATCTGTACTCTGAAGAAATCTTTAGGGAGGCTTTGGATGACAGACAAGAGGGAGTAAGACTAGGTGGAGAAGTAATCAACAATATTAGATACGCTGACGATACAGCCATTCTTGCAGAAAGTTTACAAGATCTCCAAACATTACTAAATCTAGTCAGTGAAGCAAGTTATCGGAGAGGCCTAAAAATCAACATTTCAAAGACAAAGTGGATGGCAGTTGGAAAGATCCATATAGATCAAGGTCTGCTTTCTCTTAATGGAGAAGAGATAGAAAGGGTAAATCATTTCAAATACCTTGGCAGCTGGTTAAATGTAAATTGTGACTCTGATGAAGAGATAATATCCAGGATCGAAATATCACGTAAGGCTTTTATGACCTGGAAACCAGTTTTATGCAACAGAAACCTGTCAATGAACATTCGTAAGAAGGTCCTGAAATGTTATGTGTGGTCGATCCTATTGTATGGTTGTGAGACATGGACGTTAAAAACCACAATGCTAAACAAGTTAGAAGCATTCGAAATGTGGTGCTATAGACGAATCCTAAAGATATCGTGGGTTTCGCACACTTCCAATGAAGATGTTCTTCAAATGATCAACTCAGAACGTCTGCTCATAAACATCATAAAGAGGAGAAAAACAGAATACTTCGGCCATATAATTAGAGGACCCAAATACCATTTACTTCGCCTTATAATACAAGGAAAAGTGGAAGGAAAGAGATGGATTGGTCGAAAGAAACTTTCATGGCTGCGTAATATTAGACAATGGTGTGGTTTCACAGTAGAAGAATTATTTCGCGCAGCAGCCGACAGAGAAAGGTTTCAGGAAATTGTAAGCATGATGACGGCCAACGTCTGAATACGGACACGGCACCCAAAGAAGAAGAAGAAGTAATTGGCCCATTTTTTATTAAGAAAGATCTAAATTCAGTTAAATATCTTTTATCTTTTACAAGAAAACATGATTCCAGATATTCAGAATCTCCAGATGTACGTTTAGAAAATATCTGGTTTTAACAGGATGGCTGTTCCGTTCATAATGCGCGTATCGTGAAAAATTTGTTAAACACTATTTTTCAGGATTGCGTTATAAGCGGGACAAGTCAATTTAAATGACCTGCGAGATCTCCCGATTTCACTCCCTTGGTTTTTTTTCTGGGGACACATTCAATCCACAATCTATGGCAACGATCTCGGGATAGCACATAATATAGTCGATATAAAAAATAAAATAAGAAATACATGGTTATTGTCTTGCAAATAATGGGGTTTATTTGAATTTTTTATTTAGTTTATTTGCTATTTTGTATGGTAGAATCTATTGGTTGTTTTTTAAATTTGTTTAAATTAATTTTTTATTTGTGTTTAACTACTTTTGGAATAATACTTTTTCCTTTTTTTTTGTGAGTTCTGAAATAAAATTTTTCAAAGGATTTTAACTGCATTGCAATATCTTTAAGGCTGTTTTAGCAGTCAAAACACACTGCGATTTGAAATGGGCGCATCACTTACTTTTCCTCACTGCTTACGCCAGCCGACGACGGGTACAGCTGTTTTCGCAGTGGCGCCGGCCGGCGGGTGGTTTAATGACAACAAATGCATTATTCTCCATTCAAATTACTTTTGTCGGGAATACCTTTTTTGTTTGATTATCGTAGATTTTTTAAAAATAATTATCTCATTTTTAATTTATATGTCTTAGCTAAATATAGTATTGAATATAAATTTGTGAAACGTGACTGCAAAAAACATCATGGTGTTTATTTATAATAAATTTAAAATAACATAAAAATATTATTATCAAAAAAAAATACAATTTGTTGTCACGAACAAATAAACAATTTCGCAGTTATAGCTTGAAATTGATTTCAAATCAAACTATCTGACCGTACGTTCATGCGATTTGACGTCACGCAGCCGATAACGGTGAAACTAAATGCCAATGATGAGTAACACGTTTCACTATTAGATTTCAGTATTTTTTAGCAATTTTCTTCAAAGTTTGAACACGATTTTCTCGATTATTACTGGACATAAAAAGGTGAAAAAAAAAACCAACGATTACAGAAAAAAAAAACTCTTTCAAGTGATGGGCGTAAAAAGTTTGGTTATAATAGAACGTTAAACTGTATAATCCGATATTTCAAAAGAACTTTCAAAAAAATTAAAAAAGTAAAACCATCAGTTTAAAGGCAACATAATTTTGAATAACGTGTCCAAATTTCGAGATATTTTGTCGGTAAATAACAGAGAAAACACTGTATCTAGGTTTTGGTGTACCGATAAAACAGCCTTAAATTATTTAAATAGATTTACGTAGCAGAACTAATTTCGTCGATGTACACCTAATGGAGTCTTAATTGATACTAAAGGTTAAAACGTCTGCGGCCATGATACAAAGAATCACAGGTATGATATTGCGCAGGCCACTATCAGCCGATCCCCTACTGTTGACGTCACAATGAGAGTGGCTGTTATTGTAATACATCTGTTTATAACGAGGATTTTATGAATTTTTTACCTTTTCATGTCTTTTGTAAGATTGTTGTAGATTTTATGGTGTTTTTGCGAGATTTAAGTTAATTTGTAGGTTGTTTAGTGTAAAAGAATTATTATTAAGAATATTTTATGCATTTCGTGTCTTATGTGATGTACTAAACCTTATAAAACTTTATAAGGTTTAAACAATTTTCTTGACAATGGTTTGTCTTTAGTGGAGCGGAAATTAAGAACATTATTTTTAAATTGGAATATGTCAGTGGTTATATATGCAAAAAATGATATGCCTGAAATTGCAGATACTTCCACTAACACATATATTTATCAAGTATCCGAAGGTGGCATGGGGAAACCTCCAGAAGAATTAGTGACAGAAATGCATGAGCTTAATATATATTTATTAATTTCAATGGATTTGAACATCAGTTAAAGTCAGAGAAAAATTATTTACAAAGACTGATTGACTTATCTAAGAAAATTGAATGTAACTACAAAATCAAACATCTGTTCTTCAATCTCGAATGTATTTTAGAATGAAGAAGATAAACCTAGACTTAAAGAAGATACGAGAAATAAGAGAAAATTCTAACTTAAAATTGTGAAAATTGTGTTTTAATTTTTTTGCGATTTTATTGCAGATAATGAATGATCAATTATTTTCCTCTCTCTACGTGCAACGCCAAATAAGACAAGCCAAACAAAAGCGAGCTCGTAAAATTTCCGAAAGTTACCTTTCTATGATTAAAAAGCGAAGAATACAAAAAAAAGTTTTAAATTAACTCAAAAATTTATTTAAAAATTTTATTTTGTTCGCTGTATTGTTTATTAATTTTTTTAATCAAAATAATAACACCTATATTTTAATAAATCCGAAATAGTTCAACAGAAACTATTAATCTTGTATAATATCAATTAAAAAATAATTGTGTTTCGAGCGTCGATGTTCTTACGGGGAATATTTAAAATCACTCTCATTGTGACGTCATGCGCGAACCTGTTCCAATTTTGCGCTCGGAAGCATCATACCTGTTATTCTTTATATCATGGTCTGCGGCCACGTGGCCTTGACGACAGCAGTAGGTTTGAAAAAGCGCAGTGGCCATAATTATCTCATTGTATATTACCTACGTCCAGCTGAAAGATTTCGTACTGCTAATCATAAAACTAATAAACATAAACTTAAGTACGTATTAAACTTATTTTGTATTAGTACAAACCATCTCATAAACCACTATCGTCTAATATATATTTATTCATTTCTTTTTGATTTGTCCAGTTTTTCGTCAACTATTCTTACAGTAACGCAAATAATACTGCAAGATATTTAAAACATTACCAAAACCACTTCTAAAGAACTATTTATATAGTAATTAATTTTCTTTTTGCAGATTGAGAAGATACTTCGTAAAACGTATTTTACACTTCATTAGATATACTCACCTAAAGTAACAGCAGTAGTAAGAACATTCCTCCATCCCTGTTGAGCTTTAGTTATAGCGTCTAAAAAGAATGGGTCCAACAACAACGAATTTAGGTTAATGTCTTTGTCAAAGGCTTCCTTAATCTTTCCCAAAAATACTGATCTGATGATGCATCCACCTCTCCACATAAGGGCGATTGCTCCGTAATCTAGCTCCCAGTTGTGTACCTTTGCAGCTTCCCTCAACAACATGAATCCCTTAAATAAAACAAATTTTATTAAAAATATTTCATTTTTGACTACCACTTTATGAAATTTTGACTAATAATATAAATAGTTAAATGCCAAGAAAACAAGTTAATAGAAGTAAATCATCAGTGACAACTATATAATCATCATCGTCATCTAGATTAAGAACTAGAGAGCATAGGATTATTATAATTGTATCCACTTTGGTTTTATTCATATGCTTGGAATTTTCTAAACGTAATTTATTCTTTGTCTATCGTCCCTAAGACTATTCTTTCCCTTTCAATCAGATTTCTGGTGTATCTTAAATATTTTGTATATTTTATACACTGTCGGAACTTTCCTTTTTTATCAGTTTTCTGGTCTACCTTAGATTTTTTGCAATGACTTATATAGAGGCGGAAGACAAAGAACTGAATAGAATGTTTTACTTTTATATGAGAGTGGGGAGAGCATTTTACATCAATAACCATGCCAATGTACGTCATACAAGAGCATATACAATAACAGGTTTTGGTCGACAAGGTTCCGCTGATAGACAAGTTTGAATAGCATGTTAAGTTAAGATTTGGTTTTAATAATATTTATAAAAAAAGCACACTTAAAAATAACTGGTTATTTTAATAGGACGTTACACCATGGCGAGAGAGTATTGCCAGAGTAATGTTAAGATCACGTGACTTGTAGTAAGGGTGCAGCTATAGGGCAATTATTGTACCATAATTCCTGATAACTATCTTTTTAAATTACATTCAGTCCTTTAATAAGTCCCGGGCCTAACTAGTAAAATACAGAGGCTCATAACCTTTCCAGCGGTTTGTTGCATCTTTAGTCGCTTTGGGCAGCTTTCTTCGGGTGCTGTCTACGCAGATGGCTGCCGATTTGATTCCGGAGTAAAGTGATGGATCCACGTTTCATTAATTTTGACAATGTCAAACGGGTGGACAGATATGCGTATCTTGAAACAATGATGAACTCCACAAATGATTACTTTCAGGAAATCAAAATCAGAATAGAAAACGCTAGAGCAAATTTCAACAAAATGAGCAGAGTGCAGTGCACAACAGATTTAAAATTGGAGCTATGAGTTAGGTTTGCGAGGTGCTACGTTTTCTGGACTTTGTTTTATGGAATAGAAGCTTGGACCTTGAATGCGACATCAATAAAAAAACTGGAATCATTCGAGTTGTAGGTGTATAGAAGAATTCTGAAAATATCGTTGACAGAACACGTCACAAACAAAGAGGTTTTGAGAAGGATGAATAAAGAAATGGAAATTTGAAATATAAATATTTCGGACATATTACACGTGGAAAGAGATATAAGTTGCTCCAACTGGTTATGAAGTGAAAGATCCAACGAGAATGGCTGCACAACCTAAGACAATGGTATGGATGTTTGTACATCAAATGAACTTTTCAGAGCAGCCATCTCTAGATTGCTGACCTCATCTATAGATCGCAGTCGTAAGAGTTGATTAGCCGCTTCCCAGTTTATGGATCAATTTTCTAGTTTAAAGATCAGAAGTTTGATCCAGATTGGTTCAACTATTTATTTTTTTATGAGACGAGGAAGAAAATTTAAAATCCAGTAAACAAATTCATTCGTAAATAAAATATTGTAACGCATGATGATGGAGTAGAAACAAACGTTACAGATGACATCATTAATATAATCCACCATTTCTACTCAGAATTATATAAAACAAAAAAAAAGGAACCACAAGAAGAAATTACAAACCAACTTAAGGCTAAAATAAAAAATGTTAACTCAGAGCTGCAGCCAGAAATAAGCAAATCAGAAATAAAGAAGGCATTGAAAGAAATGAAAAACAGCAAATCGCTTGGAAAAGATGGAATAACTGCAGAGATGCTGAAATATGGTGGACAAGTGGTAATTAATACTTTACATTCCCTTTTTAACAAGATATTAAAAGAAAAAAGAATCCCAAACAACTGGAAAGAATCAGTAACCATTATCCTACACAAGAAAGGGGATAAAGCAGATATAAAAAAAACTACCGTCCTATAACACTCCTCAATGTAATGTATAAACTCCTAACAACAATTTTAACCAATATATTGACGACAAAATTCGACGGATACCAGTAGAAAGAACAAGCTGGTTTTAGAAAGGAATTCAGCACACGTGACCATTTACTAAGTATGAAAATACCTATAGAACGAGCAAATGAAATTTCGAAAAGGCTTTCGACAGTGTCGAACATTGGGCAGTGAAAAGTTCTTTGATTAACAGCAGAATTGAACACAGATATACGGAACTAATAGCCAATATATATAAGGAAGCCAAAACAACAATTAAAGTATATGAAGGAACAAAATCAATATAAATAAATAGAAGCGTGAGACAGGGTGACACAATATCACCGAAACTTTTCAATCAGGCTGTGGAAGATACTTTTAAAAGATTAGAATGGGAAGAAAAAGGTATAAAAATTTGTGGACAACGCTTGAACCATCTAAGGTACACTGATGACATCGTATTGATAACCGATAAAAAAGAAGAATTGATTGAAATGATGAAAGAACTGGACATAGAAGCTGGAAAGATAGGCCTTAATATGAATTACAGCAAGACCAAAAACCATAACAAATATAGATGAAGACATCACAATGAGAATCGGGCAAGATGAAATAGAACAAGTTCAGGATTATATATATCTGGGTCAAATTATAAAACTTAACAAAGAAAACCAAACAGCAGAGATAAAAAGACGAGTTAGACTGGCATGGGAAAGATATCTACAGCATCTTAAGACCAAAGTATACAATCAATGCGTACTCCCTGTTCTTACTTATGGTTTCCAAACGTGGACATTTACAAAAGCAAACATGGACAAAATCATAAAAACCCAAAGAGCAATGGAAAGACAAATGTTTCACATAAGACTAATGGATAAAAAGAGAAACGAGTGGATAAGAGAGAAAACAAAAGTGAGGGATGTTAGACAAGAAGTTGCAAAATTGAAATGGAGATTTGCCGGACACAATATAAGACAAAAAGAAGACCGATGGAACATAATTCTTATAAGTTGGACACCGTGGGAATATAAACGAAGCAGAGGAAGGCTCCAAATGAGATGGGCAGATGATATCAAGAAACACGTGGGCTCTAGGTGGATGACGTAAAAGTTGAGCCTCTTTATAGTGCTACGATGAGAGAGAACATTTTATATCGAAAGTTTCTGCGTTCCAATATCTCTTTATTTATTTCAATTAACAATTTTATGTCGAGTTCTAAGATTACTAGTGGGACAAGTATTTTCGTGTAGTTTGTATTCAGTAAATAACTTGTTATTGAGTAAAATCGGCTTCATTGTCTTTACAAAGAGTCGCTTATTATATTCTAAAGCCTGTACCTCGATCGAGCAACGATACGCCAAAAATGTTTTTTTCTTTTAATAAAAATCACGACCCTGAGTTTTTAAGTACTTACCTGAGTGTAAGACACGATCTTGGCAGCATACAGTGCTTGTTCAAGGTCATCCAGGAATTTGGAAACATTTCCGGAGAATTTAGCGTTAGGTCCTTGGAGTTTGGTACTGGCATGTTGTCTCTCGCTCTTAAGAGCTGAAAGGCAACGGCTGAAGACTGATTCTCCGATTAGGGTTACTGGAACTCCATAGTTAAGGGCGGATATAGCTGTCCATTTGCCTGTTCCTTTTTGACCAGCTGTATCACGGATTTTGGGAAGAAGGTATTGGCCTAAAAATGATGGTAAGATGAGAAATAATGTATGCATATCTATTTGGATCTTATTAGATTGTATTGTCAGAATAGGTTTCCGACTGCAAACAAACCAAAGGTACATGATACATATATTGTGTAATCATATACATAAACTACAAGATGACGGGATTAGAAAAAAAATCAAAAGGTACACTAGCCCAAGATAATGAAGGGGGGTGAGCTCTAAGTGCGCGGTGGCAAGATTTAAAAAAGTGGAAAAAGCTTCATATTTATAATTTGTAGGTTACTTTTGTGTAGTACTGTTCGTTGAATTTTGGTGAAAAATGGAACATAATTAATAAAGGTAGTATACTATATTTACATGGCACGAATAGGGAAAACGATAATATCACAGCTTTCTTCGATCAATAGTTTAAATATTTTTAAATCAACTGTTCTTATCTTTTATTTTGTTTTATTTTTAATATTAAAACAATCTGACCTAAAATAATAATAAAAATTACTATCAATATTAATAAAAATAATAAGTTAATCGATAAAGAAGCTGAGGTATTATTGTTTTTTTAATTAAAGGTAAGTCGAAGCCTGAAATGAAAAATATCACTACCAAAATAAAAACTTGCATCCGACATTTTAATTCAGAAAAATCTTACGAACAATACGAGTGGTTGTGAATTTAGAAATTATCTCTTTTGACATTGGCTTCTGGATAAAAAAAGATGTTATTAACAAAAAAAAAATAAAGATGACTTTGAAAAATGCTGGAATAATATGATGGCAAGAAGTATTGAGACTAAAAGGAAACGCATACGCACTGATAATATTCTTCTTCTAGTTCCATGACCGTTATCGATCGTTGGATATCATGTTGGCTACCATATTCGCTATCGTGACTTTATTGACAGCAGCTCTAAATAACGATGTAGTTGATTTTCCATACCACTGCCTTAGATTTTTCAGCCATGATGTTCTTCTTCTACCAGGACCACGATTACCTTGGATCTTTTCCTGAATGATCAGATGTAAAAGATCACATTTTTCAGGGTGTCTCATAATATGACCAGCTTATTTTCAGTAGTCGTCTGTATATCCACATCTCAAAGGCTGTCAAGCGTTTAAGAATAGTCTCAGTTATTTAAGCATAGCCTCAGTTAGAGTCCACGCTTCCACTCCATACAGCAGGACAGAAAAGATGTAGTAAGATGTCATTCGAACTCTAAGGTCAATGCTAAGATCGTGGCTGCAAAGTACGTTTCTCATTTTTACAAAGGCAGCTCGGGCTTGTTCTATTCGGCTTTTAATTTCTGCGGTTGGATTCCAGCTCTCATTGATATTACTGCCGAGATACACGAGTTTCTCTAATCTGTCCAGTGTGGCATCTCCGACTTTTATACCGTCATCCTGTATATAATTTTGTTTACTAACTTATCATATATTTAGTTTTCTTAACGTTGAGTTTTAATCCATACTGATCACAAGTCTGTTTTATTTTGTTCGTTAGATTTTGAAGGTCTTCTCCGAAATTAGCAAGCACTAAGGTATCGTCGGCATATCTAATATTGTTTACGGTTACTCCATTCACAGTAATACCTTCGGTTGTCTCCATTAAGGCTTCCTTAAATATTTCCTCCGAATATAAGTTAAAAAGTAAAGGCGACAATATACAGCCTTGCCTCACTCCTCTTTTATATTTATTTCATCCGACAGTTCTTGTTCAACCTTTATTCTTGCCACTTGGTGCCAGTATAGATTTGTAATTATTCGTAGATCTTTATCGTCCAATCCAGCTGTTTCCAATATTTTTAGCAGTTTGTTATATCGGACTTTGTCAAAAGCCTTTTCAAAATCGATTGCAGAAATGTACACATTTTAATTTATATCTCTGCATCTCTGTACTAGCAGCTGTTTACTAAACAAGGCTTCTCTTGTACCCAAGCCACTCCTAAACCCAAATTGACTATTGCTAATTCTGTCCTCTAACAGCGTGTAAATTCTGCTGTGTATTACTCGCAGGAAGATCTTCAAAACGTGACTCATCAGACTTATTGTCCGATAACCACCGCATGTCTTTGGACGATATTTCTTAGGTATTGTGACAAATGTCGACTTTAACCAATCAGTTAGTAATATTTTAGTGTCATAAGTTCTGTTAAAGAGATAACACAGAGCTTTAATTTCATTTTCTCCCAAAAACTTTAGTATTTCAGCATTTACTTCATCGGGGCCAAGTTCTTTTCCATTTTTTGCAGTTTGTATTGAACTTGATAGGTTGAATAGCATAGGTAAAAAATATGGCCTCAAAATCAACATTTTGAAAACGAAATATATAGTTATTAGCAGAAACCCTCCAGAAAACCCGATAATATGCATAGGTGACAATCGTATAAATCGCGTGAAAACGTTTAAATACCTTGGCACCACAATCAATGACCAATCGGATCCATAACACGAGATAAAAACCCGAATACAAATGGCAAGACAAGCTTTTGTGAAATTCAGGCCGCTCCTATGTAATCAACACCTAAGCTTCGAAATGCGCTACAGAATGGTCAAGTGCTACATATGGTCCATCTTGCTTTATGGCATGGAAACGTGGACTTTGAAAAAAACATCTATCAACAAACTTGAAGCATTTGAAATGTGGTCATTGAGAAGAATGATGCGCATACCTTGGGTGGATAGAGTTCGAAACGATGAAGTACTTAATAGAGCCGGCGTGGAAAGAGAACTCTTTGAATTAATTAAAAAACGCAAGATTGGTTACCTTCTTAGATTATTGACCGAATAGCGTTTTTTAATATACGGGAATCGATCAAAAGCAAAACTATAGGGTACTCCCAATTTTTTTTTTTTTTTTTGAACCTATTCTCTATCCTTCCATTGTTGGATATAGGTCTCTCCATATTTCCCTATCTTGAGCTGTTCTCTGCCATGTGGGACCTCCTTGTTTCCTGATGTCATCTTTCCATCTCATCTGTGGTCTGCCTCTTGATCTCTTTGCATTGTATGGACGCCACTTTCCGATGGCATTGTTCCATCGTCCGTCTTGGAGACGTTCATTGTGTCCAGCCCATTTCCATTTCAGTTTTGCTGCTTGTTCTATCTCGTCTACTGTCTTTGTTCTGGTTCTGATCCACTGGTTACGTTTTCTATCTCTAAGTGATACACCCAACATTTGTCTCTTCATCGCTCTTTGTGCCTTCCTCATCCTATCCAAATTGGCCTGTGAAAATGTCCATGTCTGTGCTCCGTAGGTGAGCACCGGTATGATACAGGAGTTATATACCTTGCTTCGTAAGTATAGAGGGATTGTTTGATTTCTTAGAACGTAAGAAAGTTTGCCGAACGCTGCCCATCCCATTCTTACTCGTCTCGATATTTCGGCTGTTTGATTTTCTCTATTAGCTCTGATTGCTTGTCCTAGATAGATATACTCATTTACCTGTTCTATTTTTTCTGTTTTTATTTTTATTGTCTCTTGGTCTTCCGTGTTTGTCATTACTTTTGTTTTGCTGAAGTTAATTTTTAGGCCTTTTTGCAGTGATTTTTCATGAAGTTCATTCAGCATTAATTCCAGTTCTTGTCGTTTCGAGGAGATCAGGAGTATGTCATCCGCATATCTAAGGTGATTTAGGTATTTTCCGTTAATACATATTCCTCTGTTTTCCCAATCTTTTGATTTTATTATGTCTTCGAGGGTCAAGGTAAACAGTTTAGGTGAAATTATATCGCCTTGTCGGACTCCTCGTTTAACTTTTATATTATCAGTTATTAATTTGTCGTCCAGAATTACGGTCATGGTTGCGCTTTGGTAAATATCACGTATCAATTGTCGGTATCTTGAATCTATTCTACTATTGACCAGAGCTTCTTCAACCGCCCAGTGTTCAATGCTGTCGAAAGCCTTTTCATAATCTACGAATGCTAAGTACAGCGGAAGGTTGTATTCATTGGTTTTCTCAATTAAGATTTTAAGCGTATGTAGATGGTCGATTGTGCTGTATCCTTTTCTGAATCCGGCCTGTTCCACTGGTTGGTAGTTATCAAGTTTATAGGTTAGTCGGTTGTTTATTATTCTTGTGAAGGTTTTATATAGTTGTGACAAAAGGGAAATAGGACGGTAGTTGTTTAAGTCTGTTCGGTCTCCTTTCTTATGTATTAAGATTGTGTTGGCATTTCTCCATTGTTTGGGTATTTTACCTTCAAACAGACATTTGTTGAACAGTATTTTTAGCATTTTTTTTATCGTGTCTCCTCCTTCTTTTAGCAGTTCCGCCAATATTTTATCCTCACCGGCCGCTTTATTTCTTTTCATGTCGTTTATGGATTTTTCGATTTCATCTTCAGTTATTTCTGGTAATACCTCTGAGCCAACATTTTGTATTTTCCTCGTGAGATTCTGTTTAGATGATAGTGGTGGGTCATTTTTAGAACTGTATAGGTCTGTGTAATATCTTTCTGTGATTTTTACTATTTCTCCTAGATCTCTTTCTTCATTGTTCTCAGCTTTAAGCATGATTAGTTTTATTTTTCCTATATTTGTCTTCATTGTTTTTAAACTTTGTTCTTCTCTATGATTTTCTTAATGCGGTCTTCTTGGTATTTCTTTAAATCTTCCTTTATCTGTTTTCTTATGGATTTATTCAGTTCGGTATACTCCACTGTATTTCTTTTGTTATCGTTCAGTAGTTGTCGTCGTTTTTTTAGCATATCTTGTGATTTAGCGCTAATTTTTTGTTGTTTTCGCTTTTGTTTATTAGCAATCTTCAGGCCTGCTTCTAGCAGTTCTGTTGTTATTTTATCGTTTAATTCGTCTAGTTGCAGACCCTTTAGCTGTGATATGTCACTTCTTTTTAGCTGGTTTATGTATTGTTCTTTGCGTTCTTTAAGAAGTTCTGTATCTATCTCTTTTTTAGATGGTTTAAATTTTTGTCTGTCTGTTGAGTTAATTTTGATTTTGGCTCTAACAATTCTGTGATCACTTCCTACGGAAATCATGTTTATGACCGTAACGTCTTGAACTATGCTCTTTTCTTTGGATAGGATGTAATCAATCTCATTTTTTGTTAAACTATTGGGCGCGACCCACGTCCATTTTCTCTGTGGTTTTTTATTGAAAAAGGTATTCATCGCATATAGACCGTTCGTTTCCATATAATTCATTAATGTTTCTCCTCTTTCGTTTCGTGTTCCATATCCAAAGTTGCCGATTTTATTTTCTGATTCTTCTAGTTTTCTCCCTAATTTGGCATTGAAGTCGCCTATAATGATTGTGTAGGTGCTTTTGTATTTGTTCACTGTTTGTGTCAATGATTCGTAGAATATATCCACTTCTTCATCCGTATGTGATGATGTAGGGGCGTAAATTTGTATGATCTTTAAACTTATATTTTTATTTATGTCCATTATTAGAGCCGCAATCGTTTCTGAAATTCCAATATATTGTCTAATCTTATGGACATGCTGATTAGAAATAAGAGAACCGACACCAGCTAATGATTCTTCTTCAGTTCCTTTATAGTATAGTACTCATTATAGTATCCAAATTCATTATCCAAAGAATAATATAATTTTACTGTAGTCAATTATATTTAATATACATTTAAGATTAAAAGTGTTTGTCATCTTTCTAATATTTCTATCTCAGTGTTTGAAATAATACTCTACAGGTGAGATTAAAATTATTCAGTAAAAATTTTAATTAAAAATCTCAATTACCTATATAAAGATAAATATTTTTTAGTTTTTGGCCTCTTAAGAACAATTACTTTAATCTTATCAAATATAAAAATTTCTTTTTATCTACATTAAAATTCCATTAAGTAAAATACAATTTTAGTTTATTGACACTAATAAATATATCATTATATTAAATAACTTACCATCGCTATCCTTATACCTCAAAATATCTCTGGTAATTTCAATTAGAAAACTGTCCAATGCTCCCTTGTTCCATTTTTCGAAAGTGTCGCCCATCTGTTCTTGGTTGATTCCTAGGGCAGTCATTAAATGGTATACTTCACCAATAAGTTGCATATCTCCGTATTCAATTCCGTTGTGTACCATTTTGACGAAATGACCAGCACCATCATTACCGACCCAATCACAACATGGTTGGCCATCAGCCTTGGCAGAGATACCCTGAAAGATATCCTTTATATAGGGCCATGCTTCTTTGTTACCGCCCGGCATCAAACTTGGACCGTAACGGGCACCTTCTTCACCACCTAAGAAAATACATAGCTTACAGTTTTGATTCATAAAGTAATATCAACTTTTTATTTTCAACTTATTTTTCTGTTTAAGATTATAAAGAAAAATTGTCTTTTTATACCACAAACTTAATCCAGAAAGCAGTAAGCAGTAAAGGTTAAAGTTTCTTTCAAAAATGAACTGCATTAACTAAGCCAAACAATCAATCGTAACTAAATTTACTTGAAGATTAAGTAGCATCATAGAACCTGAAATTATCTTAAAGGATACTCCTGGCAGAAGATACTAGGCCTTACTTTAGATAGATGGCTCAACTGAAAACAATACATCAAAATCATTGCCAACCCAAAATTAGATATATTTTTAAGAATGCAACTTCTTTTTTAATTAGACTGATAAAATTCTGGAGGATAACTTTTTTTTTCTAAAACAACTTTATGTATATTTATTAAGTATTTTATTACTTTCAATCTAATTCCGATACCAATCCAAAATAAACTCAAACTATAATCATCATCTGTGATCACTGACAGCCCATGGAGGGCCACGATCGCCCGTTGGGATTTCTAGACTCTAAAGTTTTACATGGTGTCGAGGCTAGCCACACGCAAATCAAAACTATACCTAGCAATAATAATAGTAATGTTTCCGACTCAAACAAATACTATATATCCTTACCATACATTAATGGATTCTCCGAACAAAAATGTCGTAAATGTTGGCAAAGTGTAACATCAATGTTGAACATAAATCATCAATGTTACTAAATATGATCAGTTGGATGATATTTATAAAGTAATTTGTTAAGATTGCAATTCAAAATATATTGGACAAACACACGAATATCTACATAGAAAGGTGTTGAGCATAAACATAGTGTATGTTCCCCCTCTTCCTCTCTTTCATTTCTCTCCTTAGAACAAGTTCCCCAACATATCCGTTGACTTTGCTTTTTCCAATCTTAGTAAAAAATATCCCCCATAATTATCGTAATATATTCGTTATTAATCGTAGGACCGTAGGAGTGTCTAACTGACACTTGAATTAGATTATTTTTTTCTACATTTGTCTTCAATTGAACAATTACTATTCTCTCTGGTTAGGGTGTAAAGTTCAAAAAACAAAAATCTATTTGTTTTTTATCCAGTAAGGTTGCAACTTCATAACAATGAGCAGTATGAATGTTGAAATACATCAAATCTTTGTACTGCGTACGATCGCATAATCCGTGACATGCTATATAAAGCAATGATAAGCTTTGGCATACGAAAGAAATTTTTAAAACTACTTTAAGATACCATGTTGAACATAGATTATAGGATGAAAGTCCAACGGCATTTGGCCGAATCTTTTTTAGCTACTACCGGCCTTAGACCAGGAAACTCAACTTCTTGCATCCCATTAAATCTAGTCTTTAATGAAAGATATTGTAAGAGATAATAAGATAAATTTTAGGTGACAATAGTAGCATTACATACGCAGATAATGTATGTGGCATAACATAGGTCACAAAAAACGAAATATGCTGGGTCATTCTCCAGTATAGAAAGGTTTGCCAACAAGATAGGACTGAAGGTGAATTTGAATGAAATAAAATATATGACAACAAAACTAACATAAATGGGAATATTATAATGGGATAAAAATATAAAAATCGTCTTAGAATGTACATACCTAGGATACCCAATCGATAATAACACAAAGACAGAAGCTATCGCACAATCTACCTAGAAAATAGGCCCACAAAACACTCTTTTTTGGCCTTAGGTTCAAGACGTATTTAGCCAGAAAATTGGTTGAATACGTAAAAACAATGAACTCCTACACTTCTTTTAGATTCATGATAATTTCCTAACCGCTCCTTCATTCACTCAATTTCGTAATCTTCCCATTGAAAACACTATTGGGTGACTATACAAAAAGGATTGAACAGAAACACACGCTTCATGCTAAGGTGCCCTTCATAGTACAAAAGACTTATTAAGAGACATTAAAATCAGACAAGCTCACCAGGAGGAAAACTAGAATTAAATAAATCAATAAAAAACTAAATATATGATAAGATGAGGCACAGAAATGTTAAAGATTTGTATGGTTATTACCGTGGGATTAACTAAAATACGTGGGAACTATAATTAAGAAAAAAATTTTAACTATTTATGACATTAGGGTACGTCTGGCAGCCCAATGAAATTGCTACATCAGCTATCATAAGTCATCGTTCCTTATAACAGAACTAAAACTGAAGTGGTGTACCCAAAGAGCAATACAAGATGAAGTGAAAAAGTTTTCTAGCCCTAAAGCACTGGCTAGAATTCTAGAAGATTAGATGTAGATTTGTTATGATTAAAGGTCAGTTGCTGTTATAGTGCTCCGGTAGTTTCTACACATACGAAGAGCTTTTCCTTATTCAATTAGCAACGGAACAATATATAAACTATATAATGGAGAAAAAATTAGAAAATTTCCGAGAAAACTTAGTTTTATCTTCTTTTATCGATCGAAAGTCGGAACTATGAATTGTGGTTGGATAATTGTCGTTCAATTCAAGGTTAAAGACAGGTTCATCTTATTTATCAGTTTTAATTCGACCATAAAAAGTATCATCGTTAAATAAAATGTTTACTAGAGATGTATTCATGTAAGAGTAAGATCTTCGATTAAAAAGTAGATATAAAGATTGCTTTGATCCCTGCATATAAGGTGTTTTAAAAGACATAAAAGTTTATCTATAATAAATAACATTATAGGTATAACTATTTTTTAACACGTGTTGAAACAAAAAAGTATATGATGTTGGTCAAGTAAAAACAATTTAATTTCAAGATTTAAAATATGCATTTAACACCGGATCTAAAAACAAACAACCTTGAATTTTTTACTATTGTTTAACAAGTTTTTGATATCAAAGATATTTTATATCTACAATTAGTCCAGGCTGTGAGGCCGCTCCCGTTGGGAAAATGTTTCTGATTCGGTTTATTCGCGGATTCCGGTTAAAAAATTTCCCCTTTAAACAAATCTGAAGGGTGGTTTACTGAAAGGTAAAAACCCGAAAATACGCATTTTTGAGACTTGAAAACACATATGTAAATTATTATTTTTCAGGTTACCAAGTGTCTAAATTGAAGTTTAAACATTCAACTTCAAGATTGTGAAGAGTAACCGGGGGTTATTTTAATTTAGACCGTTGTTTTTTAATTGTTAAGTATGCGCGTACAATAGATTTTTCAGCCGCCGCGGCGCGGCGCGCTATCATGCGTCTCTATCGTACTTATGCATAGCTTACATATTATACTTACGCAAAAAAATCCGAACAAATACTTGAAGTTTATTAACATAGTTTTTTCCATAATTTATTTATGTAGGTATTAATTATTGTCATTGGACTAATTAAATAAATTCTATTAGACTACGCAAATGCATTCGAGAACGTAAAGCACGAAAAGATAATTGAAGTTCTCCATAAGATCGGAGTCGACTACAGAGACATTCGAAAAATAGCGAGTCTCTATTGGGGTCAAACAGCTAAAGTAAAAGTAGGATCTACATTGACCAATAAAATTGAGATCAAGAAAGGGGTACGACAGGGCTGTATCTTGTCTCCAATTCTCTTTAATATATACCTACTCAGAAGAAGTATTTAAGACAGCGCTGGAGGAAAGCACAGAAGGCATAAAGATAAATGGAGAAATAATTAATAACATAAGGAATGCTGATGACACTGTGATTCTAGCAAGTAGCATGGAGGAACTGAGTTGACTAATGAGTAAGATACAAAAAACAAGTGCACAATACGGACTCAGACTAAATATCACAAAAACCAAATGGATGTTAGTAAGCAAAACCCAACAACCACCACAGCAACTGATATTAGACAATGAAAGAACTGAACACGTGGATTCGTACATCTACTTGGGAACAACAGTTAACTCAAATTGGGATCAAGCGAAGAAAATACGTATAAGAGTAGAAAAGGCAAGAGCATCGTTCACTAGCATGAAGCAAATTTTCATCTCTAAAAGCCTCACCTCACCCTACCTCTCAAAATTCGATTTCTGAAATGTTATGTATTCCCGGTTTTGTTATATGGAATGGAGGCGTGGACAATGACCGCAACATTGATGAAAAAAGTAGAGGCCTTCGAAATGTGGGCTTACCGACGTATATTACGTATATCCTGGACTGAGCACGTTACCAACGAAGAGGTACTACGCCGGATAGGTAAAGAGAGAGGTAGGAATAAATATTTAAGAAAAGAAAGTTGGAATACTTGGGTCACGTTATGAGACATAATAAATATAGAGTACTACAGCTGATCGTTCAAGGGAAAATAGACAGCAGAAGGGGTCCAGGGAGGAGAAGACACTCGTGGCTCCGAAACTTGCGGCAATGGTTCGGATTGTCATCTGCTGAACTATTCAGATCTGCCGTAAACAAAGTCAGAATAGCCATGTTGATTGCCAACGTTCGGAACGGACAAGGTACATGAAGAAGAAGAAGGTTGAATATTGTTATTTGTTATTGTGGATACACCCATGATACTCTGAATAACAAGATAGGATCTTCCCGTATCACAAAATCGGTCGTGTTCGCGCATGCCGTCATTGGAGAGTAGAATTTGAATTCTTGTTAAAGTTAAATGGGATTTGTATGTATTCTGTGATGAAATTACTAGACGAAAATAAGTTAAGAGATTCAATAATTACAATAATTGTACACATAAGGATATCTCCAAAATATTTATTAAAGATTATTTATTGACACATACAAAAAACTGACATTTTGAACGTGTAACTCTCCAATGACATCACGACTTATGCACAATATCTTATCTCCTTATCATAGTATCATCAAGTATCATGCATACACCTGTACATCATAACGTGCCAATGTACAGTCATTTTGATATCAACAATTTTAAATAGTGTATCATTTAACAATTCACTGTAAATATTATGATACACAACAATACTTAATTCAACAACAAAATAAATCTAAAAATATAACACTTTATTTTCCTTTAACAAATTCCAAAAGAATTGGCTTCAATGTTCAGATTTGCTTATATTAAAAAAAAAAATAAAGCAATATATAACAAACATACCTGAAACACCAGAACCAACAAAACGGATTCCTTTGGCTGCCAACTCTTTAGTTCTTCTTTCACTGTCTTGGTATTCTGAATTACCTCCATCAATAATAATATCTCCTTTTTCAAGATGTGGCACCAATTGGTTAATAAAACTATCAACAGCATCTCCAGCTTTGACAAGCAACATTACTCTCCTGGGACTTTTCAGCTTTGAACACAAATCAGCGATGGATTCAGCTCCGAGTATACTCTTTCCTTTAGCTTCATTTGCAAGAAAATGGTGGACTTTTTCTATGGACCTGTTGAATGCTACTACAGTGAATCCATGATCTGCCATGTTTAGTATAAGGTTCTGGCCCATGACGGCTAGACCAATTAAACCAATATCTCCTTTCCTGTTCAATAAAATATAAGAAATATGTTATATTTAGGAAATTAAATCCCAGCTGTTTCTGCAGCTGCTACTTAATCTAAAAATTGATCTTCCTGAATTTAGGTGCATACAAAATTAAAACTTTTATATAAATAATACTTGGTTCATGAATTTAATTAAGTCATATTTAAAGTGTTCATATTTAAGATCTTTTGTTTTGATTTTCAGCAAATACTGGAAGTACATTTTAAGTGGCAATTGGTATGAATATTTGATTCTAACAAATATTCACTGGTAGTTTGAACAGTTGGTTGTAAGTCTAGTATAGGAGTAGTTAGTTAATGTACTATTACCCTTCAGTGCAACTAGTTATAAAAAGTTGCCTGTACTATTTTACAGTCATAATTTTTAATGTCATTTATATTGGACAAGTTCATCCAGATAAATCAGATTTCTGTTACTCCGAAGACAGTAATAATGAGCAATACTACAAAATTTAATATCGAAGACAATTTTAAGTAAAAAATTAGCAAACACTCATAGCAATTACGGTGCAATTTTAAATGACCGGATGAATGATACTGCAAAAAGTTTAATTACTTAACTTTGTGACATTAATCCACCTATATTCTTAAAAAACTTGTACATAATAAGGAGTATAACTGTTAAAGAAAATGAAAGTGATTAAGGTAACTTTTTGAGGATTTACTCAATTGCAAAAAACTTACCCAGCCATGGCGATACGACCTGTTGATCCCAATCTGATATTTTGAAGGTTAGGTGTATGACGACGACGTTATCGTCACCTTTAGCCGTCGTTCGAGTAACTGATTTTATTAAATTAAAAGTCGGTTTATCGTATCTTTCCCCTCTTTGCTACATCAAATATTATGGAAAGTCACATTGAATATCTGAAGGTCAAAAAAAAGTAAAAACTTGTAATCATTTCATCTATCTAAAACATGAAGTTTTGTGGCTACACCTTATCGCTAATTGTGGTAATAATAGGTGCATGTCGACGTACAGAAACATCTTAGGAATAATTTATTATGGTATTCCTATATATTTAATTTAAACAAATGTACACCGTACTATTTGTTTCAACATTAAATAAAGACAACTTAGAAATGATCTACTTTGAATATAGAATTATTGAATATAGAATTGAAAGAATATAGACGCATATGCATTTATATTTTTTGGTTTCATTTAATAAAGTTTGAATTTGAAAATTTAAAAAAATGAAATATAAATTCTAAACTTGAAAGTTATGCAACATGAATTACTTCAACTACAAATCATGAAAATATATCAGGACCGGAATTGAGTGGCTCAGATCCAACAAATTCATTCTTTTGAGATAATTGAGGGTAAAGTTAATCGGTTATATAAATTTCTAAATAAAGTAACATAACTACACTTTTATATAGGAGAAGTTAAAATATTTAAGATAGAATAAAGTAAAAAAATTATTTCAAAGTTAGCTTTATTAAGAAAAAAAAAAGAAAAATATAATTTTTCATATACTCCTTTTATGTCTTTATTATAATATATTGTAATAATTGTCCTTTGAGTCTATCTGAAATTATATATATATATATATATATATATATATATATATATATATATATATATATATTATGGTTGCGTGTACGTATAAACAAACAAAAAACAAAATGCAAAAGGTAACCATGCTTCGCAGCAAAAGCAGAAATAAAAGACGACCTATTAATCCAAGCAATATCAAGTGTGCAGTAGAAAAAGCTCTCAATGGTGAATTGTCCATACGAGAAGCTTCTCGCAAAAATAATTGGTCCAAAAGGCATAAAACAACTTGGACAGATGACAAGTGGAGAAAGAGGACAGGATATTACTGTAATTACAGCAGTAAATTCCTCTGGTACTAATATTCCACCTATGATGGTGTTTCCTAGAGTACATTTCAAATCCCATATCTTGAAAGGAGCTCCTGTAGGCACAGTTGGAGATGCAATTCATCTGGCTGGTCTAATGAGTCACTTTTTTTTGCAGTTCCTGGAGCATTTTAAATGTCATGTACAACCGTCGATTGAAGACCCAGTTATTTGACTTCTTAACAAACATGATAGTCACGTTAATATACCAGTGATTCAGTTTTGTCAAAACAATAGCATAACATTGGTTACTTTCCATCCTCACACAAGCCACAATCTTCAGCCGCTCGATAGGACTGTCTTTGGACCATTCAAAACGTATTATAATACAGCTTGTAGCGAATGGATGCTTATGCAGCCAGGGCAGCCTATCAGTATCTACGACGTTGCAGAGTTAATAGGGAAAGCATTTCCAAAAGCTTTTTGTCCATTGAAAGGCTCGTCAAGCTCAAATGTTGAGATTTGGAATAAGTTTTGGACAATACGACATTGAATGATCACAAGTATGTTTAATTTTGCTTTTTTTCTTAAAAAAAATAATTTTAAGAGTTTTGTTTGAATAAAATTTAGATCTGAAAGAAGCAGTTTATTTATGCTTGCCGAAAATGTTAACCCTGTTTACTATTTTTATTTTTATGCATTTTAAGTTGATGACTTAAGTGATATAACTATCTTTTTACATCATTTTGGTAACTGAATTAATGTTCCAAGGTACAATACTAGGAGGTCCAAGTACAAGACCAAATTGTACCTAGGTCCATTCTACACCAAATTAAAAATGATTAAATTTATGTCTTAAACATATTTCTTTAAACCTTTTAAATACATTGGTGCTTAAGAAACATATTGCTAAAATGCTATGTTAAATCCCAACTCAATACGTTAAATAGTAAAATAGTTACAGGCATTAAAAAAAGTGTCCAGGGTACAACACTCTCTTCTATAATTAAAAGAAAATAACCATAGATAAATAATAAGAAAAGAACCAATTGGACTTCTACATTAAAAAAAGAATAACACTAGGGCAAAGTTGTACCAAGTGTCAACATCACAATGGTGAAGACTGGACAAAATCATCCAGAAAAATAGTAATAAATATCAGGATATCATACAACTTCTTGACAACCAAGAGCCTGTTTTGATGATATTAACTGAAAAGTAGATAACACTTTTAACACATATTTTGACAACAAATTGACAGTGACAATTAAACATCTGTTTTTGACCCCCTCTTCCCGTCCTTTCTCTAAGTAGTGTTGCCATTCTATTTTCCTTCTCCCCAACATGAAAATTTATTACAAATAAAATATTGCCTTTAATTGTTTTAGTGGGGAATAACAGTTAATTTAATAGTCGATTAACATCTTAGTCAAGATCGAGGCAAACCATTTCAGATTACTTTTCATTAACAACAGCTGTAAGAACCTTGAACCAAATTGAAAATATTTTGATAAACGAAAAGAAACAGTACCCACACCACTTTCACGAAAATACCGATAAAACTAGTGCTTTAATGTATGCAAATGCAAATATCCATTAGGTTGAGTATTACCTAGTGCGACTCGAGGAATATCTAATCTATTGTCGTTATTTTAATCAAACGTGTGAGGTTAAGGTTCAGTGTTTGATCTGTTTTTTAATTTTTCCAGTGTTACGTGACAAAGCGTCGGGACACCATGGAAGGCGGTAAGAACTGGCTATTTATTATTTCAAATAAATGTTGCTATAGTTACATGCATAAGATTCAATAACCTACGCATAAAATAAAATTTTTGATGTTAAATATTGACAAATCATGCAAGGAAAAGTCCATAGCTATAGTTTGTTATTTAAACAACTGTGATTTTTATAGTAATTCCCAAAGAATACACTTTACCGCATATCCTTGAATAATTAGTATTACAGTAAAAATAACAATCTATAAGAGTAGGGAACAGTAAAATATTTTAAAGAAACATTTTATAAGGGAAAAACAAAATTTGGAGTTTAAAACAAATTAAATTTATCACTGCCTTACTAAAAAATAATGGGTTTTCTTATTAACTCCTATGAAATCTTGTATATTTCTTAATAATCTCAGATATGTTTACAATAACTCTATTAACCTGTATAACTTCCAGAAAATTTTTTTAAAAGATAACTTTTGAAAAATCTCCATAAAAATTATCTAATGAAACTGAAATAAAAAATAGCAATAGAGTGATGTGATCATTACATGGATTTAAAAAAGTTGTTTTAATGTTAATTTTTTATGTATCTGTTCACAAATATTTTTCAAAAAATGGAGCTACAATAAACGTTGGTCTAATATGCCAGGTCCTTTTACATATTATTTGGCGTAAGCATCCAATTCATTGATTTTTTTTAATGTTATCTCTCATAATGCTGTTAACTGTTTGTTTTTAGTTAGTTGTAATGTTAGCCATTAAACAGACTGTTAGTTTACAAAGGTAGGAAGTGGCAAAAGCAAAAGTAATAATTTTAAAGCTTGCCTTCCCAGTTAATGATATTCTTCTTTTCTCTCCATCAAGAGGATATCAATGTTTGTAAAATAAATTTTTATTTTATGCATGTTGTGAGCAGCCAAATGGATAAGATTTTCTTTCATCTTTGTTAGCTGATTAGCTAGTTGTGCACACTGTTATATTGACTGTTCAGTTCTGGAAACTAATTGGTTCATATGTCTTTCAAATTTTTACTATGTAAGGACTTTGAGAAACTGCCAATAATTATTGGTTCATCACAATTTCTTTATATACATTAATAATTTCAGAAGGAATCCTATAATATTATCTTTGCCATTAGAATATTTACTTTTCTCCCTCGAAGCCCTTTACTTAAACTATTTAGGTAATTGAAAAGATCATTGAGAAATGCTCATTTTAACAGTAACACAGGATTATAAAAATAATTCAAACTAACTCATTGACTTTAGATAGTCAATTGACCTCATTATGATAAAGAAGATTTAAATGGATGTTTTCAAAAATGATTATAAACAAGTGATTCTTTACCTTTAATTGAGTTCAGTAGCTCACCCAGAATTTTCCTATGGGGGGTGGGGATTTTGGATGGGCACTTGATGCTACCTCCACTTTGAGTCCTTAAAATTTTATAACAGTGTCAGAATAGGGTCCTGGGGGGTTACCCCCGAAACCCCTCCAGGGTGCGCCACTGATTGGGTTCACAACTTTGATCTAGTGATGGGAAGATCTGGTTCGTTTTGGTGACTGGGGTCTTCCAGGTCATTCATTAAAATGACTCGATCATAAAGATCCGTTCATATGATCCAACGACTAATTAAATTTGTTGTGTAAAGGTCAAGTGTGTAGAGTTTAATATTGATATGTTTATGAATCTTTCTGAGAGTATATGAATTAATGATAATGCAGGACCCATTCATAAGGATTCCTTCATAGTTACTATAAATTTAAGAATGAAATATAGTTTAAGGCTGACATTAAGATTTGTATTTCTCAAATCATCTTCAGAAATCATTAAAGTATAAAAAAATACTTGAAAAAGTTAAATAAAATTACAAATTCCATATTGTTATGTTCATGAATGAATGATAATGCAATAATTAATATGGGTTTTATTTCCGACAAATTTATAAACAGAACAAAACTACGGGACTATTGACACTCGACAATTCGAATGTATAAAATTGTGCAGTTTTGCAGCGTAAGAGTTTCAACGTTCTTGGAAACTGAAATCAGCGTTTGAAAGATCCTT